TTCCATTTTCAATAGACCTTCTCCTGCCCTTTAACTGCTCCTCAGTTTATTTGCTCTCCTCCTCCTATATCATCCATGGAGAATTGACAAAGGAGCCCCTTTCCTTGTCTTGTCTGTCAATACATCTATAACATGATTAAACAGATAGGTAGTGAACAGTGAAGAACCTGGATGCAAACCAACCGTCCTTACATTAATGTATGCTATCTCATACATTTCCTACACGGGCGTACTTCTAAGGAACTGTATCGTACACCTTCTCAAGATCTATAAAAACCAAATGTAGCTCTCTTTTCTTATCGCTGCATTTCTCTATAAACTGGCTCAAAGCAAACAAGGCATCCATTGTCCTCCTTCCTGGCATAAACCCCAACTGTTCTTCTCCTACTGATGTCTCACTCCTTAACTTTCGCTTTACAGTTCTCTCTTAAATTTCCCCTTTATCTTTATATGGTGATACCGTTACTGTATTCTTCCTCTATACATCCCTTTCTTCTTCGTATATCCTAATCATCGTTTACCACATCAAATCAACCCCTTACTCTCCTATAGCCTTACAAGCCTCCACATGTATTTATATACATTTCTCGTTCTCTTACGAGTTGTGGGTACACGATTGGCCTTAAAATTAACTTTTCCAAAACACAATACATGACCAAACTTGTACTGATCAAAAACATTTCAACTCATGTCACACAAATTGAACAAGTGTATACCTATAAGTATCTGGGCCACGAGAGGCTACATAAGACTATCAAACAACAGAGTTAATCAGGAGAATAGAACTCCGTGGGCAGCCTTTAAAAAACGGAAGAAAATCTTTCAATCAGATACCATGTGCTTGAAAAGGAATCAATATTTGATCAATGTCTACTCCCAATTCTAACGTATGGAGCAAAAACAGTGACCCTTACCAGAAATGTATAAAATCAATAAGATACAAGTGGTACAGAGAGCAATGGAGAGGTAAATGATGAATATTTCTCTCAGAGACAGAGTTTAAATCAAATAGGTAGGAGAAAAACTGGTGTTACGGACGCAGTTAAAATAATTACAACGAGTCAGAGATGGAGAGTCAGAGATGGACCAAGAAAATTTGATAATTAAGACTTGGACACGATGCTTATTGTTATCGAGGACGTCCTCCAACAAGACGACATCAAGCGCATCCAGCAAAACTGGATTCAGGGTGCTCAAGATCGGATGTAACGGAATTATTTACGGAATAACTATATTCATCAGTGTACTTAAAACGACTAATGGATGATGATGATGATGGTGGTGATGATACATTTCTATCCTTTTATTTCGTATTTTTTTATTTTTTCAGATGATGTACAAGCAACGTTGATTTTATATTTAATAGCCAAATCGGCAATATCTGCATCATTTTTAATTATTTATCCATTCGCTGGAGAACTGTATCCAACTCAATTAAGAGGTCTTGGTATAGGAACATCAGCCTATATTGCTGGTATTGGACTTATTATCATTCCCTTTATAACTTATTTGGTAAGTACCACTTTATTTCAATGATTGTTCATTTCAAACAAATTTCAAATATATAACGTATACTGGACTTCCAGGCAAACCATCTACCAAATGGTAGGTAGAGTTATTCCTGGCTTTTACTTAACTGATAATTAAATGCTCAATAACTCTGTGTAGTGAATTATTCTCATAGTCCTTCTATTGTTACACTTAATTTTTACCTATTGTTTGTTCAAAACAAACAACTTGGTGCTCTTATCATTTAACTGCTATTAGTTTAGTCGTCAGAGAGATAAGCCCTAGAAATAGTACGAACAAGCTGAATTTTGCCAAGAATATAAATATTGAGACCCCAGAAAAGATACAAAAAAGTTTACCACTTTTACCGCAGGGCTTTCCCTTAAAACCCCCTTGCAAGAGGTTTAAAAGCAAAAAAATCGTAGCTGATATAGTTTTGAACCAAATGGTTTTTTAACGCTTTTTGTGTAGAATTTTATTTTATTTAGCGTATGGATAATTACAATACGATAAAAGTAGTATTTAGATAATAATTATGTTTAAATTGGAATTGTAACCTAAGTTAAATATTAAATATTAATGTCCAAATTGCACAGCCATTCAATTGCACCAGGAGAACACTCTGCAAAATCTTGAAGGTCTCCGCTGTATCTGCGGATTGGGCAATCCGCCATGATGTGTTGGATGGTCTGTCTCGGGGATCCACAATCACATTGTGGGCTTTCTGCATGACCCCATCGGTATAGAGAATCGGCACATTTGCCATGACCCGTGCGTATGCGATTTAATTTTGTCCATATAGGGCGTGGCAGGTTTGATCCAGTGAAGCCGATCGACGTACTTGTTATTTTGATGACGTCTGGCTCTGTTGTTGGCATCCATCTTTTCGTCCACTGCTCTTGCTTATTGTAGCTATCACCCATTCCCTGAACGGATTGGACAGGGGGTCGTCTGGACTTCAGTCTTTGTTGGTCTCGTGCGGCGTGCGGAATATACTGGTGAATTGGCAGACGATTATTTGCCATGATTTTCTGATATTCTCTGACAAGTGCTGCCGTTCGTCGAATATCTGGAGGTGCTATATTGCTCAGAATTGGAAGCCATCTTAGTGGAGTTGATTTAATAGTACCAGATATTACTCTCATAGTGTAATTTAGTTTAACATCAATCTTGTTGACATGAGCGCTATTTAGCCATACCGGTGCGCAGTATTCAGCGACAGAATACACCAGGGCCAGTGAGGAGGTTCGAAGTGTATCCGCAGTGGCACCCCATGTCGTTCCAGCAAGCTTTGTTATTATGTTGTTACGGGTTCTCACTTTGGCAGCTACATTCGTAAGATGGGTTTTGAACGTCAGTGATCTGTCGAGCGTTAGACCCAGGTATTTAGGGTTGTTTATTATTTCAAAGTCTCGCCATTGAAGGTGATGCTAAAGGTGTCATTCGAAAGCTGAACCGTTCTCTTATAAACAACGCTTGAAGCGACCGTCGATTTTGAATGTGTTACGCTCGCCAAATCAATGTTCAATAAAATTTGTATCAGATCGACGTTAAAAATTCGATATCTTTTGATCCAAGTATTTTATCGACAAAAACCAAGATGCGTTTTAAAGATAAAGAGTGCAGCTTTTGTATGTCGTTTGTTGTATTTTTGCGCGTAATAAATAAAGTTTTTATAAAGGTATTAAATAAATAAACGTCGCGCGGTTTTTGCCATTTTTTACGATTCTCTTGAGATCAGTAGATTTAATCACTTTCATTGACCAGTCGTAGTAAAATTTGGCAACAACAGTGGCAACAAATATAAGCCATTTGAAATATGAATAAAAAAAGCAGAATTTTAGGAACTTAGAATTTTACAGTTTTTTGGTAAATCGATTTTTTTGTGTTGCTACAGTGCTGCAAACACACGCATGAATGACAAAAACACAACATATCCGACAGCCTAAAAAGTGCTGTAAAAAACAGCTATAACAAAAACTACTTCCTTATCTTGATGTGGTTTAATTACTATTTAACTGGGAATAAAGCCACAATTAAAGATAAAAATACGTTTATTGACGTTTCAATTTCCACTTCGGAAATCGTTCTCAAATACAAACAGTAAATTAAACAAATTTTGTTTTTTGTTGTTAGTTAAAAATTTTTCTAATAATTTAATTTTATCTGGCTCATTTATATTGACAATTCAGACATACATTATGCATTTTAAAGTAGACGACTTTAAAATGATATTGCCAAATATTGTCGAGTTGCGCTCCTGGGACGACTTTACTTATAAGATAGTTCATTCGATTACATGAAATCAACTTTAACTTGAGAATATCCGTCATAAAAAATCATAGCATGTAATTCGTCTTTAAAAGACAAACATATGACATGATGACAGTAAAATTCTCCTGTTAGTTGATTCCATAGTAAATTATGAGGGAAAAACCAGGAAAAAAACCTCATAATACTATCCCGACATTGTAATTATTTGTTCGTGAATTTAGTTTACCTTCAACAAACATCAAAATTCTGATTTTATATGTTACGTTATTTAAAAACATAAATGATGTATCCTCTCTATGTATGACTTACTAATACTGGTATTTTCTTATTAATAACTTCCTCTTTCAATATTGGTAACCAGATCCTACTACATTCTGCCGACACAATTGGCCTCATTTAGCATAATTAGAGCCGCTTCTTTGATTTTTCTTTTTTTACCATCCGTTTCTTTTAGGACTACATTTGAATTATTCCATTGAACCCTATGTTCATTATCCCATGCGTGTTTACATATTTGAGATCTATCAAATTCTCCATTTTTAATATAAGATTGATGTTCACTTATTCTAACATTTGTATTTTTTTCTGACGGATATTCTCAAGTTAAAGTTGATTTCATGTAATCGAATGAACTATCTTATAAGTAAAGTCGTCCCAGGAGCGCAACCCAACAATATTGGCAATATCATTTTAAAGTCGTCTACTTTAAAATGCATAATGTATGTCTGAATTGTCAATATAAATGAGTCAGATAAAATTAAATTATTGGAAGAATGTTTTACTATGTAACAAAAAACAAAATTTGTTTAATTTACTGTTTATATTTTGAGAACGATTTCCGAAGTGGAAATTGAAACGTCAATAAGCGTATTTTTATCTTTAATTGTGGCTTATTCCCAGTTAAATAGTAATTAATTTATAATGCCACAAGAAAATAGCTTCAGAACAATATTGATGTGATTTGTTTAAAAAAATCTAACCACATTATTGTATCTTTCATCACATAACAAAATTATTTGTACCGTATAAATCTCCCTGTTAAAAACAATTAGTGGTTGGTGTGGGTTTTCTTTTTAAATAAAAAAAGGTTTCAAATAAAGTGGCTATTTGTATGCGTTAAGTTACTCCCTGATGGTGGTCTGCTAAGACCGAAAAAATTGTGATGTTTCCAGTAATATGTTTCAAGTAGTAATAAGATCTAATAAAAATAACATTTTTAGGGCTCGGAAATGCTTATTCTACCACTAATAATCATGGGTATAATATCGATGATTGGTGGTATATTAGGCCTACGGCTGCCAGAAACATTACATTACAGATTACCACAAACAGTCGAAGAAGGTGAAGAATTTGGAAAAGATTTTGGAATGAAAGATTGTTTGCGATGTATACCAATAAAGTAAGTATATTCATAAAGTAATGGTTAAGATTTATTTATATTTTCTTGCTTATCAGTGTTGTATGAACTATGTTTTTGTACTTTCTTTACTATAGATAAATTCACATTCAGATGGCAGCGTTACAGAGATAGGCCTGTACTTTCTATATGCCAGAAATAACTACATTGTTGTCAGTTTTTAATCGTACCTACAATCGTACGTTATGGGCCGGCTCCTATAAAAGAATTATAATTTCGGAAATATTTATGAATGTGAAACGGAAAAATACTACATTTTTTAATTATATAATTTTTCTGTTGGTATTTTAAAAATAGAAAGTTATATTTCGGAAATCTGGTCTTTTCGGAATTATATCTTCTGTTCAAAATTGTTTACAATTCGTGGAAATGAAATAATTATTTGTATAATCCGTTTTTGATCTTAATGTCCTTTTAATGACACACTTTCTCTACCTGCATTTACAGTTACAGACATTAAAAAAATAATTTAGAATTAAAAAAATATACCTATTTATAAATTCAAAATTATTGTCTAATGCCAGCAATTATAAATTCAGGTAAATACTTGAGAGTCATTAAAAGAATTTTCAGTTGATATCAGACGTTTGTGTCGTGTCAGTGTCAAAATGGCCGCGAGTGTAATAAAATTCAAAAACGGTAATTTGTTAAATAGTGAATGCAAAAAAATAGTGTTAAATGTTTTTAAACTATTTATCAAACAGTAATAATGATAAAAGTGTATCAACAATAGTGCGGGAAGTTTCTGCTATGACTGGTGTCTCTGAGCGAACGATATTCCGATATAGAAGTGAAAGTAAAAATGGTCCACTCGTAACTCCTATAAGAAAAAAAAGAACCGGTTATTTGAATAGTCGTGAGAATAGATATGATGAAGCAACTCGGTCTAGAATAAGAACAAGTAGTGCACGGTTTTTTTTATGGACAATAATTCCTCCAACCCTTGACGTAGTACTAGAAAAAATTAAGCAAATGGAGCATCTTCCGAATTTTTCCAAGAGTACGTTGAGAAGACTATTGCACGACATGGGTTTCATATAGGGCAAACAAGGTAGAAATTCAATATTAATAGAAAAACAAGAAATAGTCGCTTGGAGGCGTCACTATCTCCGGGAAATAAAGAAACTGAGGAACGAAGGAGCCAATATCATTTATATGGACGAATCATGGTTAATACTGGAATAACCAATGGGCAAGTATGGCAAGATACAACAATAAAAAATAGCCGACAGGCTTTCGTAAATGGACTTACCACAGGTTTAAAAACTCCGACCGGAAAAGGACCAAGATTTGTTTGAGTCCATGCAGAAACAAAGACGGATTTGTTGAAGGTGCTGACATCACTTTTCTTGCCAAAAAAAGTGCTGAAGATTACCATGAAGAAATGGACGGAGATCTATTTGGAAAAATGGTTTGAAGAGATGTTAATACCGAATCTCCCAAAAAATAAAAAAAATGTCATTATCTTGGACAATGCATCTTATCACTCTAGAAATTAAATTTTTCCCAAACAATATTGGGTGAAAACGTCAAATTAAGGAGTGGCTCTATGAAAAGGATATTTATTTTTGAAGAAGATTAACTTAAAAAAATGAACTTCTGGAAACTGCTAATGTATTTAAAAATATTTATGACAAAATACCAAATTGATTGTTATTGGTGAAAAATACAGGAATCACAAGTGACGAACAATGCCCCGTAGATGTACATATCTTAAGACTTCCGCCTTATCACTTGTGCACTGAACCCAATAGAAATGGTGTGGAGTGAAGTGAAACGGTACGTGTCCTCTAAGAATTCAAGTTTCAAACAAAACGACGTTAAAACATTGATTTATGAAGGTTATGATAAAGTACAGAACAATGGACATTGGAAAAATTACGTCAACCATGTTAATAAAATTGGAGAATAATTTTTGGATATGTAGACAACATTCAAGATGACATTGAGCCTATTAGAATTTCATTAACGATGACTCTGAAGATGAACTAGATTATGAAAATGGAGATGATTGAAAATTGTTTTTTTCGGGGGTATTCTTTTCTCAGTAAAGGTAATAAAATATTTAGTTGATACTGGTTGAAATGTAGCACACTTAAATAACTCATTAATCGACATAATTTCAAGTAGTTATATTAGACGTCATTATGCAAAAAATAAAGTTATGAACATTTAATAAATTAGTGCACAATTGAGGCCCCTAGAACAAAAGGGGTGTAAGAGCCAAAAACAAAGTTTTGAAAAATCTTTGTTTTTTGGCAAAGTTCGATATAAATTTAAAAACCTAGGTAGCACTTTTTAAAGTTTTCAGCATGTTTTCAATTACATGTAATTTTTGATGGTGTTATTGTTGTTAATGTAGAAAGTTTGAAGCCAAAAGTACGTGCCTGTTTGTTAGATATCAATTGCTAAGTGATAAGCAACTGCACTTACACCCTTGTGTTCTAGGGGCCTCAATTAGGGGTTTTTTGCAATTATCTCAGTCATTTGTTTATTTATTTTAATTTTACAAACTAAAAAATATAAAAAAACTTTTTTAAGATCTGCAACATTTATTTGAAACATTTTTCCCTAAAATGCACGAGGAACAAAATAGGCAAAAAAATGATTTTTTCCAAACTTCCTCTTTCTTTAAAAATAAACAAAGCAAAATTTGTGGCTGTAATTCTCAAGGAATTATCATCAGTTATCCCTTATCTACCGTTTAGAACATTAAAAAACCTGTAGAATATTTTTTCATATTTTTTTCCCTATATTAACTGCGTATTATGTAATAAAAGCATTTTTGGAATTATTACCATTTATTTCATTCAGGAATTTTCTATTAACACACTTTAGCTTTACCTAAACATATCTTAGTTTACCGTGATGTTTGGCCCTGCTTATTTTACAAAAGTAGCAAAACTTACAATGGCAGTAGAATTTACAAACGCTGTTATCCTATATCCGTACACCGCCATCTGAACGTGACATTTATCTATAGATGTATACTCAATTTTTTATTACTTACAATACTTTTTAAATGGTCCAAATAAAGACATCCAAATGTTTACTTGTTACATCTTCGTTGCACTTTAAATTTGTTATATTCCATTCACTAACGATATTATTGATATTTTAGACCAGTACCTTCGGTTATTAACTCTTATGAAAACTTAGAGCTTGCGCAAGCTCCAAGTACCCTAGCCTCTGAAAAAACACCTCTTGAATCAACTCTACAACCCAGAAGATCTATGAAAAAGCTGTTGCGGCAACAAAGCGTTATGGATACACAGAAGACAGCGGATGGAACGATGCAGATGACATATTGGTTTTAGTTTATTACATGTATAGTATAAAATTATGTATGTACCTAGATATCAGTTATATTTTTGTTAATAAAGAAAAAGAGAAAATTTTAATTTTATCTTATTCTAGCTCTAGAGGTCAGATGTAGGTAGCACACGGAGGATAACGTGGTAGTGGATCTCGAATACGCCTAAAACACAACGCATCATAACTGAAAAGAACCTGAAAGGCTTCGCGAAGAACCAAAAATAATTCCTCATTTTAATAACTTAGTGGAAATTACAGAGGAATTAATTTATTAAACACAACAGTAAAATTAACACCCAAAGTGATAACAAATAAACTGAATGAAATTTTAACACTAGCAGAGAAATTATTAGAATACAACAAACCGGCATATCTATGAGATAAGTTTAAATACCTGACTGTCTAAATCCTGACTTAAAAAATCCAAGCCCGAATTTAAATGTCCTGAGCAAACTTTTCGCAAATGTGAATCCTCTTATGCAATAGGTCACTCAATCTGCAAACAGGATACAATTTTGTAAAGTGCTCAGTTTGTACAGACTTAAAGCATTTGAAACCTGGGTATACAGACAAAGGTTATGAATACCTTGGAGTTGGGTCCACCAACCATATTTTTTTTTGAGGTGAGAATCTTCAAAAGACCGTCAGGGAAGGTGTCCCTGTGTGTCGGATTCAGTTCGAAAGGCTGTATCCGCGTGCCGAGACCGCCTACCGACTAAACTCACCTCCTCTCCTACCAGCCGGCGGGTCTGGAACCGCTCTTAGCGAGCATGTCTGACCCGTCGACCTTACTCATAGCTCCCCTTAACACCCCCAGCGTGAATTCCATGGATTGGTCAGCTTCACGCACGCCTTCCCCGCCCAGGCCCCGCACAGCGAAGCGACCGAGGACGGAAAGAGGGCGGTCGGACGCTTCCCAACCCAAGATGGAACCAACCCTAAGATTCAGTCGGCAGTTACGAATACTACCAGTCGTTCATACCTCATCTATTCACTCTTTCTCATCCACCCATTTATCTATACTTAGTTCTCATTTCAACTCCAGTCATTCTTACTTTCATCTAGACAGACCTACTCATCCACCCTTTCATTCTAACATTAGATGAGTCTGTGTAGGTCGGATGTAAAATGTCCTTCCCTGCTGACTGTCCCCAGACGAAACGTGACATAGTTTAGAGTAATAGAGAAGGAAAAAAAGAAAAAGAAAGAGAGAAGAGGAGGAAGGATGAAATGAAAGATAGAAAAGAAGCCAAAGAAAGAGGAAAGAAAAGATAGAGAACATTAACAGGAAAAGGAAATTGAATAGTAAAATTGTTCAGCAAACAATAGCGTATAAATAAAATAAAATCAAGAATAAAACAACGATAAAGTAAAATAAATATATAAAACTATGGTAATAATAAATAAATAAGTAAAACCGTGTAAAAATAAAATAGGATACATTAAAATTAGACAGTCAGTGTGGTTTGGGTGTATAGGGTCCTCTCCCCACTGGCTGCCTTTTTACGACACAAGAAACGTTAAAAAATAAATATACGGTTATTCCTGTCTGCAGTCGCCTTCTCTTTTTCTTCTTTATTGCTTTTATTGTCCTGTGTGACAAAAGCAATGATCAGGTCGAAGTCATGCTTGCTGTAGATAGCTTTATCAAATTAGCTCGCGAGGGCTCGCCTAGGGGGGATCCCGGGCAAAGCTGCAGCTCGGTGTGCCCCACGTGATATGCGGGGCATACGAACACGACATGCTGCGCGTCATCCACCACCCCGCACTCAGAGAGATCGTTCTCGGTTTTCCCTATACGATAGGTGTATTTCCTGAACGATCCATGCCCTGTCAAGAACTGTGTGAAGTAATAGTTGACGCGCCGATATCCGACCACCCGTACCACCTCACTGCGTCCGGGATCAGAGATCTCGTCCAGTCAGCCTTCCCGACTTCGGCTGCCCATTCCCTCTGCCACGTCTCTAGACTTGTAGCTCTTTCCTGTGGCCCTGAACCTATCGCTCCGTTGCCCCTTTGGTACATTCGGCTCTCTCCCTGACCAAGATTTGAACCGGTACAGAACCGGCCACCACCTGTAAGGCAATGGTTGATACAGTCCTGTACGCACTGCACACCTGATCAGGGGTTTCCTCTGACCCTAATAAGCATGTCTTTGTACTTTTTCATCCGAAGGACTCTCGTGTCCACTGGAGCTCCCTATAGTATTATGGACAGTATTGATTGAAGCAATACTGTCCTCTTTTGGATCCGGGTCCCCCGATGTTGGGCATTAACTTGTTCAGTGTTGAGGTCCTTTCTTCCGCCCTCCGACATGCTTCTTGCACATGCTGTCCGAAAGAGAGTCTGTCATCGTAGGTTATTCCTAAGTACCTGACTGTCCCTTTGGGGTCTTATTTCGTGCTTGATATGTCGAAGATTATATCGTTTCTTTTTTCGTGGTCCACCTGAAGATTATTGCTTCTGACTTTTCTACTGCTAGTTTTAGGTCGTTCTTCTCTATCCACGCCGCGGTCGTTCTTATCGCATTATTTACCTTATCTTTTATTCCCAATTTCGTAATCGTCCTCGACCAGTAAAGCTAGATCGTCCGCGTATGCTATCGCTCTCACTCCTCTCTTCTTATGTATTTCTAGTACCCTCGTTATATAGTAAGTTCCAAAGTAAGGTCCCAGGACTGACCCCTGGGTACTCCCGCGGTCATTTCTTTCTTTTTCTTCTTGGATATACATACGGATCTTTCCGATAAGTATGTCCTTTATTATATCTTGGACATATACTCTGGAGCCCCAAATTCGACGATTCGGTCTAACTATGAGGCCCCATTTGCCTGAATTAAAAGCATTTCTTATGTCCAGCAGAACAAGGACACCCATCTTTTTCTTGCTTTTCTTGGCCGCGTCCCTTATCCAGGTTGCGGCATCGACTGTCAATCTGCCTTTTCGGAATCCGTATTGTTGGTTTGATAGCATTCTCTCATCTTCCAAGGGTCCACCAACCTGGAAGTTCTCCGCCGAGTGAGCGAAAGCTCATTGAAATCATACAAAAGCAGAAAACTGCATATCTCGGACATGTAATGAGGTTACAACATATACGATTTTCTTCTTCTTCTAAATGTGCCTATCTTCTAGAGATGTTGGCGACCACATTGACCCATCTTATTCTATTCACAGAATCCCGAAATAAATCAGTTGATGTTAGACCAGTCCACTTCTTAATATTGGCCGGCCAGGAGATACATCTACGTCCAGGGCCTCTCTTATCCCTAATCTTGCCCTGTAGAATCAACTGTAGAAGTCGGTATTTATTATTACGCATGATGTGGCCGAAGTAAGCCAATTTTCTGTTCTTTGCGGTTTTAATAATTTCTTTGTCTTTTCTTTGCCTTTGGAGAATAGTTATGTTACTTGTGTGGTGTATATATGAGGCCCTCAACATACGTTTTGTTTATGTTAATAAATCAATTTGGTTTCTTATGATTTTCCCTCAGATACCACAGGGTGCTTTCCATGTATAAAGCCTTCTTGGGTGTAATTTAAAAAGTGTATTCGATTTTCTACAGTTCGTAATTGAGGGTAAGATTGAGAACAAATATGAACCAGGAAGAAGACAGTGCTCCTGATTAAAAACATATGAGATTGGACAGCCTTAGGCTTGAATGATTTGCTTAGAAAGACCCAAAAAACAGAGACGAATTAGCCAAAATTGTTACCAATCTTCGATAGGACAATGCACTTAGAAGGTTAAATATAATTCAGGATAGGTAATCTCCTTGCCTGAGACCTCTTATGATTTTAAAATATCTAGAATTCTTTCCTCTAGTTGCCACTTTACTTTTGATTTCATTTAGAGTTATTAATGTTTATTAGTTTTTGAGGGATAGTTAAAAAAACTGCATAATTTCATCTTTTACTGTTTATATACACACCCCTACTTATAACTTATAAAACGTAGTGATCAATTGTGAGATCAGACAAGTGTTAATAGAGCATTAATATCGAACCAATATTTTATTGTAATTATTTTGCACAATACTTAATCTGATATTTCTTATCAAATAAAAGGAAATGTGTTTCAATTGATTCTAGTTTAATAAGTAACTAATATAAATAAAGTAGATGATAGTTTTAACTCTTGTTTACAATGAAAATGTCGTCAGGGAAATTTATACTTTATTCAATTACTTTACATCCATCACCCTTCTGATGAAGAACTAAAACATTTGGTAAAGAATTTTCCTTGTAACAAGTATACCATTGATAACCAGATAAATATTTCAAGATATGCATGTCAGACAACAGTAAGACTGAATATGTAAAGGATATGGTGACAAATGGCAAGAACCTTTACAACAATGAGATGTTTTCTACCAGAAACTACACCACAGTAATTATGGTACCTATTATTGAGAATTTTATCTACTTAGACCTCCTCCACCAAGAATGACATGGATCTTCGGCACCAAAGCATGATCAGGTTGAATATCTTTACATTCAGATTAAGACAAAATATTCTGTATACAATTAGAGAGCAAATAAAGAAGCTTTAAGATGTTGATGTGACTTACAATTACTAACAATAATTCGACTATATAAGCCAATATAAATAAAGAAAACCTTGCAGAAAATTTTTATAAATGGAACATGTGTACAGTGAAAAGGTATAATATATGAAAACTAATGATATCAGCTAGGCCAAATGGGCTGGACACATTGCTAGGATGTCAGATCACGAATACACGAAGAGATTAACATTTTCAAAACCAGAGCACACGAGAAGCAGAGGACGACCACAAATGAGATGGATTGATGATGTGGAAGAAGACCTAGAAATTCTAAGGGTTAGAAGATGGAGGAAACTTGCCAGGAATCGACCTAAGTGGAGACTTTTTTGTAAGCAGGCCAAGATCCACAACAGATTGTCGAGCCACTTATGATGATGAATGCAATCAGCAAAAATGAACCACTCATTAATTAAGCTTACTTTCAAAAATCTGCAGATGCCCATGTGAAATCGTGGAGTAATGTAACCTATCTGCAACTAGGCATAAAGTGCTTTAATTATTTCTGAACTTGATAACATTTTTTTACAAAATACATTTTGTGGACCAACTATCCTTTCTTTAGTTAAAAAACAAGACTGTGATGACATAATTAAGACCAAAATTAATTAAAATCACATTAAAATAAAGTTTAAATCTTAAACTGAGTAGTTTTGTATTTTTAAACTTTAAAACCTTAAAGGGTTTGAAGTTTAAAACTACAAAATAAAACTTCTTATGCAATAAATCAATTATAATTACATATTGCACAACTCTTTATCATACTCATCTAAGAGTTCATTAACAGAAGGTCGAGATTTAACATTATATTGTAGGCATTTCTTAATGGTTTGTATAATTTTTGGAGGAACCCAATTTGCTTCTGGATAATGTATTTGGTGATTGGGATTCATAATAAATGCCAACTTAGTCCACAATTGTTTTAAATGATGAAAAGGTGGTTTCTTATAAACAAGTTCATACAGAATACATCCCAAAGACCAAACATCAGATTTATAATGTAGTTTGTATCTTGTTTTACCAGGACTTGAAGTACTATCATTACTTAATGCTTCAGGACTCATATAATTACATGAACCTGCAGCAAGAGTCTTAAATACACTTGTCATATCACTTTGTACACTAGAAGCTATACCAAAATCTATTAATTTTAAACCCTTATCGCCCCACAGAAAGTTTGAAGGTTTTAGATCTGAATGTATCACTCCATGGGAGTGAATTTGACTAACAGCCTGTAACATTTCCATCCAATAAAACAACAACATATACAACGGAATGTTTGCCTTGTTACTACCCAAGTTTTTTAATACTGTTGAAAATTCTTCACCACCTTTTTCTAAAACCATATATAATTTCTTCTCAGCTTCTGAAATTTGATAATCATACAGTCTGATAATTCTGTCACATGAATGCAATCTCTGCAATAATTGTACTTCAGTAATAAAACCCTGAGCAGTGGCTGTATCATCCAGAGAAACCATTTTATGGCTACTAGAATCTTTCTTTCTATGCAGAAACATTGATAGACAACAGAGCTTCCACCTGAAAAATATTTATTTTGGTTATTTACCTTTGTATTTTAATATTCATTATAAAGACAATGACATTATAAAGACACAACAAAATAAAAGTCTTAAAGTTGTAAAACCAAATTAGAAGACATGAACATTTATACGCTAAAAAATAGACAAGGACATGCTGTAATATAACAACAAGAAATTATGAAAAATTATTGATGGTACTATAAACATTAAATCGTTGATGATGCTCACATTCCAGAGGGTGGAAATCCCAGCCATACAAAATCAAGGATCAGAGGAACTTCCAGATATAACCAAAGAGGAAATCCAATCAGCATTGAAAGAGCAAATCACCTGGAGAAGATGCAAATGTATATGAAATGCTAAAATTAGGAGGCAAATGCATCATAAAAGCTTTAAAACCCCTTTATAATGCCTGCCTCTTTGAAGGAGTTACACCAGAAAAATGGAATAGTGTCATTATGATAATATTGCACAAAAAAGGAGATGTAACAGAAATTGGAAACTACACACCTATCAGCTTGTTATCTCATTTATATAAGCTCTTTATGAGAATAATTACTAACAGACTGGAACCTAAGCTGGATTTTCACCAACCATTAGAGCAGACTGGATTTAGGAGTGGCTTTGGAACAAATGACCACCTACAAGTAATAAAATCCTTAATAGAGAAAATTTCAGAATACAACAAGCCATTGATATTAATATTTGTAGATTTTGAGAAAGCGTTTGGCAGGGTAGATCATGCCTGCCAGCTTCTTCAAGACCTTCAGAGCTTGTGTACACGAGTTTGAACTAAAATTAATTTCTCCAAAACACAATATATGACCAACCTTGTACTGGCGAAAAACATCTCAACTAAAGGCACGCTATATAGCTATAAATACGTATATAGCACACTATTTATAGCTATAAATATCTGGGCCACAGGATTAAATTAGGAAGAGATAATCAAACAACGGAGCTAAACAGGAGAATAGGACTGGTATGGACGGCTTATGGAAAACTGAGAGAAGTCTTTAGATCAGATATTCCCATGTGCTTGAAAAGGAAGGTCTTTGATCAATGTGTACTCCCAGTTCTAATGTATGGAGCAGAAACATTTACCCTTACCAGAAAAGTAATCAATAAAATACAAGTGGCATAGAGAGCAATGGAAAGGTCAATGCTGAATATATCCCTGAGAGACAGAGTATCAAATACAATAATTAGGAGAAAAACTGGTGTTACTGACGCAGTTCAAAGGATTACAACATTGAAATGGAACTGAGCAGGGCATGTTGCCAGATTAAAACATGGAAGGTGGATGAAGAAAATTCAGGAATGGAGACCTAGACACAATGCTTATCGTAATCGAGGATGTCCTCCAACAAGGTGGTCAGATGACATCAAGCGCACTCAGCACAACTACATTCAGGGTTGCTCAAGATAGAAAGCATTGGAATTATTTACGGGAGGCCTTATGTCCAGCAGTGGACATTTCAAAATGGCTGATGATGATAAAGACATGATAACAAGAGCACAAACAGTTATCCACTTAGGCTAATAGGAACAGTTGTGTTCAAGTAAACAACAATTGATAACTTTCACTTCTGGTTATATTTTCTAAGTAGTTTCAAATTATTGTTATAGCTTTACTACTGAATTTACAAACATATATAAAACATACCTTTTCCCAACAAGTTCAGTATTAGGTATTCCACATTATTTACCCATATCCTATTAAATGTTTGATCATTTGGTACACTCCTTGGAATGGAACATATAACATTATTCACACTGTTTAAAGCTTTATCAGGTTTATTTATTATCATTTTAGAGGCACTGGCTAATGTTGCACTACCTGAAACACTACAGTGAATTTTGAAGGAATGCTTTTTACTGTTGGTGTAGTAAAATTGTTAAAAGTTGGAACCAACTGATTACATTTCACAATTTTGTGATCAGGTGTTTCTTGTATCATTTGCTTCTTCATTGGAGTGTGCAAAGATAAAGCACTAAAGTCTAAATCAAAGCTATCATTATCTTTAGCTGTTGTAAACACCTTTCTAGGTTGCTCAGGTTCAACATTTTCCTTGTGATGTGGGGTATTCTCCTCTATAAATAATCAAATTTATTACTTATATAATAAATTATTACTGACTAACAAAACTCACCTGTTTCAGATTCTTTGATATTTTGAAGTTTTTTAAAACCATCAGAAGAATCTAGTCTTTGTCCAGCATTAGGGATTATATCATGTTTCTTACTTCTGTGGAAAATATTATCAATAGTAGAAAACCCCTCACGGCGTTTACTCTCTTCTATTCCTGAATTTAACTTATCAAGCTCTTCAGCTTCGGCAATTTCCCTTTTAATCTCATCAAAATTTAAAGGAACTAATGGAATAATTTTCTTTGGAATATTAGGTTTCTTCTTGGCAGCACTCTGTGTGCTTCTTAGAAACAGATCATTCTGTACTATGTTCTTCCTTAATTCAGAAAAATCTGCTGTAGAATTCATTTTTTATAATTCATAACACATTTTTTACATATATGTTGTTTAAAATTAAAACTTCAAAATAACGAATTCCAAGCTTGACGTTATTGACAGTAGTGACACATTCTTACCAACATAAGTATGATCAACCAATAAAAGTATCTTATTCTTTTTTCACAAATTTAAATCTGATCTTTATTTATACAATATATTATAATATTTACAATTATATTATAATATTTGGAAGCACTGAATTTGAAAAATTTGCATAAATGTTGATTTCCAAAAGTATTTAAATAAATTGGCGCAAATAAATAAAACTCCGCTATTAAGATTTCTAATCATTCAGTGTAAACATAATTTTTAAAACATCATAAAAACGAGGAATCATAACTATAACTAATCTCATATATTGTCATCTGATAAATCATACCTAAAACACCTAAGTAAAACGTGGGAAAATCTTAGATTAATGAAATCCTTTCATTAATCTAAAAAAAAAAGGCCTGTACTTACAGTCCTGATTAAACCTCGATTAGCACAATTTTATTAGCTGGTTAACTTTAATCAGCGCTGGTATTTTCATTCCCGATTAAGACTAATCAAGAATTAACGGTGATTAACCAGCCAAAAGGAGTTGCCGTTTAGAGATAATCAAGAAGGCATTCTAACCTTATTTTTATAAACTTTTAGTGCTTTTATGTTTTCGTTTTGTTTTTGAACTATTTTCATTTCATTTTAATTTTTGGCAAAAAATTCCAAATCTACTTTTTATATCGAGACAATGGACCTTCAAGAATTTAAGGAAATTATATGGAGCAATTTGACGAAAACGAATTTTTTTAAGGTATAATTTTCATAAGAATGCTGTACAGGAACTGGGTCCTGTTTTACACATAATAAATCTCCAGTAAGTATATATTACCGTTCTTTCATGGTACCACATGTTAGATATTTTTTTTGTTTGATATGTATACATAATAGTAAAAATACTTTTGTTTTAAGTACCATGAGCTTGATTTATGCTACTGGTTGTTTCTATATACAATCATAGTTACAGGTGATTTATGGGAGACTATAGGAAAATTTATAAAACAGGTGACACATGCCATTGTTCCTTTAAGGCCCAGATATATAAAATTTCCCAATGTTGAGGACATACACAAAATTAATTTAGATTTTTATAAATGTGCTAGATTGCCTAAAGTAATTGGTGCAATAGATTGTACTCACATCCCCAGGTTAGCTGATATTTAGTGTGAATTGTGAATGTAGAATTTGGATTCCAAGTTATATATGTATCATTTTAATTTAGGTGGCAACAATGCTGAAGTGTTTCGAAATAGAAAAGTTTTATTTTCTCTAAATGTTCAAGCAATATATGATGCCAACAAAATTATATTATGGAATTGGTTTGTCACCAGCCAGGTTCTGCACACAATAGCCATATCAAAGAATATAGACGCTTAATATTCTTTGGCCATATTTTCAACAACTCTTCCTTGAAAATGGAGAATTTATGGACAATTATTGTCCATAAATGTCCATAAAGTGTTAATAGGGGATAGTGGATATCCAGTCCTCAACTACCTAATGACACCATTGCAAAATCCTCAGACAGCAGCTGAAGTGCTGTATAATCAATCACAAATTTCTTCAATGATTGTTATTGAATGAACATTTGGTATTTTGAACAGGAGGTGTAGTATCTTAAGAAGTACAATATGTAAACTTAGCTTTAAGAAATATGAGAGACCTAGAATTAATGGTTACTGCCAAGCGACATAATTAGAGGTTAGCTTAGCTCCTTATGTAGAAGCTTAGAACGTATTAAAATACTGGGAAATGAGGATGCTGTTAATGTTGGTATAGAAGAAGCTGTGGTAGTATGTCTTCAAAGAGGAGCTTTGACTAAGATCATTAATTATTTTGAAACATTGTTGTAGGTAATTGAATATTTTAACTCTAGCAAAAATTTATGAACAAAAAAATTATTTTACATGATAAAATAATTAATTTTATAGTATTTTTTATAATTTTTTTTGACACTGTTTAAATAAATGCTGATGATAAATACATTTGTTTTATTGTATTAACCTGTTTTATATTGTTAATAAAATTTATGTTGGATATCTGTTGAATTGAATACTCTACTTTTAAATCCTAAATTTTATAAAGTTATGAAAATATTCTATGTCTATGATCATTGTAATTCTTAAATATTTTAAAATTGTTTACAAATTATATTTAAAAACTTTTTGTAATAACTGAAGCTTCAATAAAATGCTTCTTTTTTATTAAATTTTATTTAGTTCTTTTTTTAAAATTAATAACTTCAACTTTCTTTCTTCTAACTCCAACTGAAATAGTTGTTCTCTCCTATCATGTTCCCTTAATACCTCCTGATATTGTTCTTTTTTTATCAACAGATCATAACCCAGTAATTCTTGTTTTTTATCGCATTCCATTTGTTTGTGTTCATCTTCTTGCTTTTTATTATTTAACTCTGCTTCATAGCAACTTTGTGGTAATCCTGACAATTCTGTCTCAGACTCAGCCAGTTTGTTACATGTATTGAGACTTTCCCTTAGTTCAGTGGTTGTTGTTGTTATCCTCTTTCTTTTTTTAAAATTGTGCTTTTTAATATCCTAAAAATATATTAAAATGACACAAGAGAACTACAAAATTCAATAAACTAATGCTAAAACATAAACCTATGTATAAAGGTTGTGTACCATATAATTTATATTTTACTAGTTATAAAACACTGTACATACCACTTTACTTTGAGTCATTTCATCTTTGAGCCCAGATGTCTCCTGACTGTCTAGTACTTCTGATTCTGATAGATATATTTCATCCTGAGGAGAATCTTCCTGGACCTACAAGTACATATAATTTTGAAGTCTCTCTAGACAACTACATAATTTTTGATACAATTTTGTATTACATACTTGAATATTTTCTTCTTTGATAAACACTGAGAAGTTGTTGCCACTATCGAAATCACCTTCTGATGGTAAGCCATCGATTGAAGTTCTTAGCAAATTGTACAATTGTTCTTCATACCAATTTAATTCTGTATTTGCGGGAGGATCTCCACCAGTTTGATGTTTACTTTTTTTTATTTGTGATACAGTCTTTTTTAAGTTTCTTTTAATGTTGTCATACTTTACTTTTATGGATGCTAAATCTCTGTTTACTATGTTGGTCGAGTTAAACAAATTATGAATTCTTTGCCACGACTCCTTTTTATCTTGTAAAGACAAGTGGTCAGATTTTTTATTTTCAATTACGTGGAATTCTTGAAAAATAAGTTTCATAAGGCTATTAATTTCGTATCCAGAAAAATTCGATGACCTTTTCTTTTCAGAATTCATTTTTTTTTATCAATAATATAAACTATAAAACTAAATTAAAATAAACTATATATACTACATAATAAACTAGAATAGAATACATTGAAATACATTACAATAAAAGTCTTTAAAATTACAATTTCAAAAAACACAAGACAGATCACATTGGAGAAATATATTAATTTGCCGGGAAAATCATACCAGTTTATCGCCTAAAAATATGAGTTAAAATTACAGCCACGGTTTGATCATGATTAACTAATCGGGCACAAAATTAACCGGAAAGTACCGAAACTTTTTTAATCAAGGTTTAACCAGCTGATTTAGTAATCGTCTGATTAAGAAGTAGCAGTACCGGCCCTAAAGCAAAACACATTTCTGAAAGCATAAAGCATCTTCCCCTTCCATCTCTAACCATCTTTCTTTTCTATAACACCACGTGTTATTTAATAACATTTGACACATCCACATCAATTTCTGCGTAAACATTTTAATTATTAGAGAGTTAAAGTGCAGGTGACACGTAAACGTTAACACTAACGTAAACGTAAAGATATTACGTTTACGGACACTGTACGTTTTAGCTGTGAAGTGTAAAACGTTAACGTCTAACGTGTGTTTCTAACCTTACTTTTACTCAAATTTGTTGTGGATTAATTACAAATTTGAATGATTAGACAGTGTCCTTTTATATTTTTTTCCTGGTTTGGTTAGTTTTTTATGAAATATTTTGATTGCTTTTACAGCAGAATGGAAGATATCTTTAATATTTGAAATGTGTGGGGAATCTGATTTCGAGGATGATGACATGTACGATGCTGTACTTCTACATGTATTTGGTAATAACTTATTGGAAAATTGATATCCGTCATTTTTTTCGATTTTTTTCACTATTTTTAGATTACAATAATGCAAACAAAAAGATGAATCTTTGGTTAAAATCACAAAACAACCAAAAGTTTTTAATTTTCGGAGATTTGACAGAAATTCGGTAATACTCGGAACCATCGGAACAATTTGGATAACGTTAAGGGAATCCGTAAACGCACGCAAGGTTAAGGAGACCCGTTAACGCAAACGTATGTATTTCTCTACTGCGCATGAGTAGCTGTCAAATTATACGTTAACGTTAACGTTTTGCCCTGCACTTTAACTCCCTAATATACATCACAGTACACTTCCACCTAGCAGTGTCAGTCCTGTGTTAATAGGTAAACGACGATTGGCATATCGCCTAGTGCCAGGGTGTGTAACTATATATATACATGGCGGTAAATTAAAAGTAATGAAAAATTTAATTATTAAAAATACTGTAAACTCATTTTAAAGCAACGGAAAATCTATATAAACCTAAAATAACAAAAACTTGTCAGTGGTTAAAAAAATTAAAGAATAAAATCTTTGTTTATAAAAATGTTACAAGAAATATTAATAATACAAGACAAGTATACGTAGTATAATTTAGTGTTTGTAATGTTCACTAACTTGTTATTATTTAAATAATAGTTTTGTTATTCTAGTATAATATCCATATTGTTCTGAAGCTATTTTCTTAAGGCATTTTAAATTAATTACTATTTAACTGGGAATAGGCCACAATTAAAGATAAAATACGTTTATTGACGTTTCAATTTCCACTTCGGAAATCGTTCTCAATATACAGACTTCTTTCATTGAAAATAGAATTATTATAAGTAGTGGAAGTGTATACTAAACCAATTAAATTTTCGGTAGTTTATATTTCAAGTTCCAAATATATTCCAGTAAATATTTATATTACTCACGCTTTTTGTTAGTTCCATTTAGTTTATATTTTGAATTTTATTATTATGGATAGCTAGCCAAATTGTTCTATCAACTAATGCGTTGGTAAGTTTTTCTTTAATAAATATAATAAATATTCTTAAGATTTAATATTTTTAGATGAGCAAGGATGCAGTTAAATTACAAGGCAAACTTGGGTATTCTCTTGTAGATCAGTTAGAACGTCTAACTAATAAAGGAATAAGAAAAAGAACTGGTGATGGAACGAGGTAAATAGATAAATATATTCTTCCTTATACAATTTATTAATTGGATTAATTGACTTAAGTGGTTTTTTTTCTGTTCCAGGTCATTAGTTACCTTACAAACTATATTTTTTGCGGAGAGTATATTTCCATTGCATATAAAGAATTTGTTTTTATTAGATCGAATTATTTGTGTTGCAGATACATAATTTTACATACAAACTCAGAGAATGGATTTATAAATTTTAATTTTTAAATTGGGCTCCGAAAAAGATACTCTCATGGAGAAATGGATGCTGATATTTTTGAGGGTTAGTTGGAGACTGATCTTTGCTTTGCTAAATCTTCTTTGTATAGGGAACTATAGATACCTACTTATTTTGTAAAAGAAAAAAAAAACAAAGTTTATGTTGATTCCATCCTATGAATAGTAAAACATCAAAAACAATAAGGACTTCTTCTTCTTTTGTTTCTAGGCTTCCACGTCATGGCGATACGCTAGCTCATTTTGGTGGTGACAGCCATGATACTATAACTATAAGATAAGATATTGCGCATGTTTTTGTGGACGTCAATGGAGACTTGCACGTTCGAAATGTCAGTTTTTTGTATATATCAATAAATAATCTTTAATAAATAGTTTGGAGATATCCTTATGTGTACGATTATTGTAATTATTAAACCTCTTAACTTATTTTCGTCTAGTAATTTCATCACAGAATGCATACAAATCTCATTTAACTTTAACAAGAATTCAAATTCTAGTCTCCAATGACGGCATGCGCGAACCCGACCGATTTTGAGCTACGGGAAGATCTTATCTTGTTATTCATAGTATCATGGTGACAGCGATAAAGTCTGGCTCTAAAACAACTCGAGGCCACTTACTTGTGCCAAATAATTTTGTAAAAAAAATCATTAATAGTTAATAGGTTATGTTAGTAAACACTTCAAAAAGTATTAAGCGTTGTCGAATTACAAATTTAATTTATTAAAATAAGTATGCCGAAGACCTTTTCTGACTGGTGACTGCATAATTTTGTGGAATTTATTTCTTCAAAATATTTTTATTTCGTACAATAAATAATTTTATTATTTGTTATCAATACATTTCTCTATTTTATTTGTTTACTATTAATATTGGCTATGATCACGTATGCTTGGTTGTATAGTAATTTCCAGCTACTTTTAATCTGTCAAAAAGTAACTAACTTCGCAAAAAAAATTACTAAATTCACTAGACAGTTCGGACTGGGAATAGCGAACTGCTTATAGCAGTGCCACCAAACGGAAGGGTGCCAAATAAAAACGTGCGTTGACTTTGGCTATCCTTGTACCAATCTAGGTTTAATTTTCTGTGAACATACATAACCTTACTTTTTCTAGCTGATATTGTTGTACATACTGTAATAATCCCTGTTTTTTTAAATATGTCAGTAATTAAAAAACCTTTAACATTTGATGTTGTATCATCTTGTAAAATAAGCAAAGCCCGCGTAGGTAAAATGATTTTACCCCATGGTCCAGTAGATACTCCTGTTTTTATGCCAGTTGGAACTCAAGTAATGAAATTGACTAACATGCTCTATATTTTAATACTAGTTGTTATATTTTACTTATTTTTAGGGGACTTTAAAAGGCATGCTTCCAGAACAGCTCGAAAAAATGGGATTACAAATAATGTTGGCTAATACATATCATTTAGGAACAAAACCAGTATGTATCTCTATAGTGATATATGTCAATTCAATGTTAATTTGGTGTGTTTTATATGTTATTTGATCGGAATGTTTTTAATGCTGTCTGTAGATGGATTATTTGTAAATTTGAATGTTTATTCAAATTATTATTTACTTTGGAGGTACTAAAAGCTCTGAAGCCTAAGGACACCAAAAAGTATAATGATAAATAATAAAAACAGAGAGGCGGCAGTATTTGTAAAACATCCTTTATATATTATATAAAAAACTGTTAATGTCACAAAAATCTAGGATGATTTTTTTACATTATACCTTAAGCAGTACAAACTTTCAAAATATTAATTAATTAACCCTTAACTTAACCCTTAACCGCTGTAAGAAAAATGTTTTGTTTACTGAATATCATTTTTAGAGGGCTCCAATTTCGGAGTCACTTACATTTTTTTCTATGTTCAATTTTTTGACATTTTATTGACATTGTATCTCATAAGTTACACTACTAGGCATACCATACATTACAATGTACCTTGCAAGACACATTGCCAGGAATACTATAAAACAAGTACCAACGACCAATAGATACATTGCCAGGTTATTAAAAAAAACCCTCCGTATCTAGAAAGATACATTGCAAAGATGTACATTTGTAGTTTTAACCAATATATTAAACAATATTGAGTTATTGAATTAAATGAAAATTATCAAGTTTTCACAAATATATTGAAAACATTAAACAAATCTACAATTGTTTCGCTAGAGGTCTTTAGCATTTTCAAGACTTTTAGCAAAGCAATTGTAGATTTGTTTAATGTTTTCATTACATTTTGTGGTACTGTGTTTTACTTCAATTATCATGAACAGATTCCATAAAGTAGGGGTTTAAACAATAAACATAATATTGAATCAATTAATATCAGTCATTTACATGTATAAATTATAAACTACAAAGATGATCAAATATTTATTTTTACAGCTTAAATTTAAAACTTCAAATAACACTTGGAACACTTAAAAAATAAAAGTAAAAAGTAGTAATTAAAGTTGTTAAAAAATTAAAAAATTTAGTTATGAAAATCATAAAAACAATTAGGTACAGATTCCACTAAACATAAAATCGCTCTACATTTTCTACAACTCATAGTTGTTTGTCCTTTGCAACAGTTTAGTCATCGTCCTTTGGTTGTAAAAGTTGGAAAGTGTCCTAAAAGATCTTTTCTAACATCTTCTCCAGGTATATTCTGGACGTGACTATGAACCTTTTTTTCGGTGTATTAATTTCTTTGGATCTCCTTTTTCTATTTTTCAATAGAAGGGAATTGAATTTGAAACCTTACTGGTGCCCCGACACGTTTCGGCTTATGTCAAGCTGTCATCAGGGGACACTAGGTGAGTGTTCAAACCAAACTGAAAAGCAATTTCGTCTTAGTGGTGTATATATGTATGTATTATATGAAATAATAATATGAAAACATAATGCAACATTTTACGTTTAAAAGCTAGCATTAAACTTACGTTTATGTAGAGGAAGTACATTTTAACAAATAATGTATCCTGGAGTACACACCGTCAAGTTAAGGGTTAAATATTAAAAAAGCTAAATCTTTTATATTTTGTTTTCTACTTTATTAATATTAACTTTAATTCTATTCTATATACATACTTTTCTCTACATATCTTAACATAGTAAATGAAACATCAACCTCTTAACATTCTAGGGTCCTGAAATTTTAAGGAAAGCTGGAGGGCTTCACAAATTCATGAATTGGAATAGACCTCTACTGACTGACTCTGGAGGGTTTCAAATGGTATCTCTATTAAAATTAGCAGAAATTACTGAAGATGGTGTGAAATTTCAATCACTAAATAAAGAGAAAGGAGAAGTTATGTTAACTCCAGAACATTCCATAGAGATTCAAAATGCCATTGGGGCTGATATTATAATGCAGCTAGATGATGTTATTAAAACTACTTCGCCTGACAAAAGTAGAATAGAGGAATCAGTATATAGGTAATCATATGCCCTTATTTTAAGTATAGATCAATTTAATGCAAGGCAGAGGGAGAAGTGTACCATAAAATATTGCCAATTTTTTAAAATCTCATAAGACTTGTTTATTTTTAGAACAACCAGGTGGCTAGATAGGTGTTTAAATGCTCACCAAAATCCAGAAACTCAGAATATTTTTCCAATTGTGCAGGGAACCTTATATGAAGATTTGAGAGTTATTAGTGCTCAGGATCTCATTAAAAGGGATACAAATGGATTTGCTATTGGTGGTTTAAGGTAAAATGTATTTAATGTTTATTTTAGTTTAAGTTTAATGTATATGTACATTTATTTCAGATAAAAGTCATAGTTTTGTAAGCCTTATGAAATTATTTCAAAGAGCAGGGACTTCCTAAACTAATATTGTATCAAGAATCATTAGAATACTGTTTTTTAACATTAAAATTCATTTTAAAACCTTTGAAAATATATAAAACTTTGTACCAAATAGATGATTTTGTGATTATCATAAGTTTCTCTCACAGAGAAATTCAAATTCTCATTTAGTACCTGTCTCTTGGGTTCTTGTATATTTTCTGTTACAGAGTGTCTACTATTAACAACGATTTTCTCAAAACTGTCATTAGCATATTGCTATAATACTATCAATAACATATTCTCCAGTTGGTTAAATAATTTGCTAAATGTGGCTTTATTTTGTAAAAGAAATCTAGCCAGTGCTGGAATGTAGGATCATTAAACTAGTTGACGAAACTGGTGGAATGAACTGTGTTCCCCGTGGTATATATTTTTGGATTTCCTGTTCCAGTATTGTCGAAACATTCCAGGAAGCTGCATCAATTTTCAAATAGTTTGTATCACACTAGATGAAACTTCCATTGTGTTTGCTATGGTTTTTCAATTCGTTTGTTTTTCACTTGTTTTAACGCTGTTGTTCGGACTTGAGAATTAGGAAAAAATGTGGGTGTCTCCTTATGTTATTGAAAAATATACAGACACTGTGAGTGGTAACAATGTCAAAGATATTAAATTATTTAAAAATAACGCTACAATTAGAAACAGTTTGACATACTATTTACATTTTTATTACCTTAAAAACCAAATCTACATCCCTTTAAATATTAGAATTTTGCTCAATAAAAGTGTAGATTTCGAATTTCAAATTCTTGTTTCAAGACAATTGAAATTAAGATTTAAACACAAAACCATGGCTTTTAAGAACTTAAACATTTGGTTTTTTTTTTCAAAACAACCTTCAGTCAGTGGCTTAAGCACTTTTGGAAAATTCATGTGGGAGACAACTTCATATTATTATTCATTTGTAAGTTTATTGATAGCCAGTTGTCTTTCAGATGACAGCAAAAGTTTATTAACTATCTAAGCATATAATTAAAAATTAATTTTTATTCATCAAAATCAATTATTCACATTTTGTATTTGAAAAGCAAAGTTGAAAAATTTTTCAAATAAAAGGCTCTAGTTCATCATAAGATTTTTGTCCCACAGGTCATTTTTCTTGGCATCTATTAATATCGTTTACAAATACTGAAAAATCACTTGTTTCACCTCAAACAGTCAACATAACCAAAAAATCACATCAAATAGATGTTGACAGCTGGAGTCGCTTATGCACAAACACTCAACACCTGACTTAACCTTGTTTGAAAAAGAATAAGGCAAGACTAAAGTACTTTAAGAAAACATTATTGATTTCTGATCTGTATAGTATACTTGACTTAAGCTGTTATGGCATGAATTGTTTTTCTAATGTTAGAAATTATGCTCTAGATCCAGTGATCTAGAGCAACTAAAACCTTAAAATGTGAAAAAAATGGCTTAAGCCCTTTTGGAATCCACCTCTTCAATTATTACTAATAAATATTTTTTATTTTTTATAGCGGGGGTGAAAGCAAAGATGATTTTTGGAAAATAGTACATTTGTGTACCGATCTCTTGCCGAAAAATAAACCAAGGTACCTGATGGGCGTTGGTTTTGCTATTGACTTAGTTGTTTGTTCCGCCTTAGGAGTGGATATGTTCGATTGTGTTTTTCCTACTAGGACAGCGGTGAGTTCTTTAAACTGTATATTTAAATATTTACACTATATACAGGGTGATCAACTTTTGTGACAAAGTCCGTTACATCTGTTATTATAGGAGATACCAAAAAAACTTATTTACAAAAGCAGGAGGTACTAGAAAACGCTTTACTTCCTCTCTACAATATTACAAAGTTTTTTTGCGTTATACAGAATATTTAAAAATTTATAACCAAATTTCAATAAAAATCGTTTAACAGCCTGTATAATTAAAAAGGGGTACAAAAGCAAGTACCTGATGCAACCGTAGTTTCTAAACAATTGAATACTCTTTAAATCCAATACAGGATAAGTCAAAACAAATTCATCTATTTCCTCAGTATTTTTAAATGCATATTTCTTTATTTACTTTTTTGTGTTGCTTTAAGATATTTGTAAATAGTAAAGTAAATAATAATAATAAATTTAATTCGTATTTTGTGGTTATGTTCTTGCACCTACCAGCTTTTAATGTTGATGTTCCTGGCAGCGGTCAAATTTCTTGGAATGACTTTTCAACATCCAAAGTTGATATGCTTCCAATGGATTTACTATTTCTGAAGGTTTCTGGCACGCTGGGGATTGAGAAGCTGAAGTTAAATATTTTGTTGGTGTTCCCTGACATTCATGGATTGTAGGGACGTCATTAACAAGATCATTGGTGCCAATGGCGCTTTGAAGACGAGCTGATTTCAATATTCTTGATGTCTTTTGACATTCGATGAAGTTTATGTCTCAAATAAAATAGATATAGAGAAAAAACAAGAGTTGGCTGTTGGACCACACAAGGCTTGATCAACCAATATCTAAAGACATTCTTGAAGAAATTATTTCTGAACTTTACCAAGCGAATTTCATTATCGTTTCCATTATAAGTGATATGGATCCTGGAAATATTTCGGTGGAGTAAACTAAAGGTCGAACACAATAAAAGTTCCTTTTTCGTTCATCCAGGACAGAAATAATACTACCACCGAGATAAACCGCAGAATTTGCACGACCAATAGATGCTATTTTGGACTCAATCTCCTACTTAAATCCACAATTATATCGAGAAATACAAAAATAAAACTCTACGAAATAATAATACGCTCAGTCCTAACATATGGTTCAGAGATGGAACTGGACTTTAACAAAAAGTAATGAAAACACGATAGGATGTTTCGAAAGAAAAGTACTGAGGCGAATATATGGAGTAGTGAATGACAAAGACTGAATGAACGATAGGGCAGCTAATGCACGATTTTGAGGTGAAAGAAAAAATTAGTCAGGAATCACTAAAATATATAGCAGGATTTGTAGCATACAAATATAAAAAATCCTTTCCTTTCTCCTACAGCTTCTTTTGCTGAATCTAGGATGCTTGCTTTAATTTTCGCCCAGAAGTGAAAGAAAAATGCAAAGAAAAAAAGAAAGCTTACTTAAGATACATGTCTAACAAAACACCACAAGAATACAACAATTACAAAAAGATAAGAAACGAAACAATAGCACTAGTAAGAAAAATTAAAAACGAACACTGGGAACGCTTCTCAAAAGAAATGGAACACGACTTTTACGGTCTACAAAAGGAAATATGGCGTTTCATAAGAGACCAAAGATCAGAGATAAAAGACTTAATCGAACCGAAACACATAGATAACGACACATGGATTGAATACCTAAAGAAGCTTTATAATGATGAACAGCAAATGATGTTAGAACCAGAAATCATTACAAACGAGGAAGTCGAGATAACCGTACAAGAAGTAAAACAAACTTTAGAAAAACTGAAGAACAGAAAGCTGCAGGTAAAGGTGAAATTCCAAATGAATTATTGAAATATGGTGGGGAAGCATTAACAGAACAGCTAACAGGACTAATTAACAAAATCATCAAACATAATAAAATACCTGAAGAGTGGAAGATAAGCGAGCTTATCCTACTGTACAAAAAAGGAGATAAAAAACAACCTGAAAACTACAGAGGTATCAACTTATTAAACACCACTTTGAAGCTTACAACCAAAATATTGCAAGGCCAAATAAATCAGAGAATTACCTTAGCGGATGAACAGCAGGGTTTTCGCACAGGAAGATCGTGCACAGATGCAGTATTCATCATAAAACAGATTACCGAGAAAGCACTAGAGTATAACAGACCAGCATTCATATGTCTAATAGACCTGAAGAAAGCGTTCGATAAAGTAAAGCTTAAAGATGTAATTCACCTTCTTTACGATAGAGAAATTCTACTAAATGTTATAAAAACAATAGAGAACATTTACCAGAACAACAATATGGAAGTCAGAATAGATGACCAACTTACAGATCCAATAGATATGGGCAATGGAATAAGACAAGGAGACTCGCTTAGTCCAACGCTATTCAATCTAATCATGGATGAAATCATCAATACTATTAATAAAGGAAGAGGATACAAAATGAGGAACAAAGAAATCAGAATACTCTGCTATGCAGATGATGCGGCCCTAATTGCATCCAATGAAGACGATCTACAAAGACTAACCCATAGATTCAACACAAGGGCAAAGGACTTTAATATGGTGATCTCTACACAGAAAACTGAAACAATTGTAATCAGTAAAGAACCAATTAGATGTAAACTGGAAATCGACGGGTATCAGCATTGAGCAAGTAATGGAGACAAATTACCTAGGAATTACACTGTCTAGCTACGGAGATGTGGAGAAGGAAGTGAAAAATCAAGTACAAAAGGCTAATAAAATAGCAGGTTGTCTTAATAACACGATATGGCGCAATCCCCACATTAATACCGACGTGAAATCAAGAATCTACAAAGCAACAATAAGACCAATAATGACATACACTTCAGAGACAAGACCGGATACCTCCAAAACTCAGCAACTACTAGAAACAGCGGAGATGCGTTTACTGAGGAGAATTACAGGAAACACACTGAGGGATCGAATGAGGAGTGAAGAGATCAGAAGAAAATGCAATATACCAGAAATAAATGAGTGGACACTGAACAGAAAAAAGGAATGGAACGAACACATAAACAGAATGGAAGAGACCCGATTAGTCAGAATAGCGAGGGACAAATCACCAAAAGGTAGAAGAAGTATCGGGCGACCACGCAAAAGATGGAGTGATAACCTCCAATAGAGGCATTAATTCGACATTGAACAAGCATTTTGCTTATAAAGAAGAAGAAGAAGAAATATAAAAATAAAAACTCATCGGAAAACCCCACTGCAGACATGGACATCAACAGAGTTCTTTGTTACATCTAAATGATGATTTGTGGGAAGTTTGCTCTGAAACTTGAGACTGGGTTCCATAAAATGCATGGCAACTCTTTATCTAGAGGAGAAAAATTGTCCATAAATTAGCTGACAAAACCATGTCACAAATAAAAACCATTTCTCTGCCTTAGGAAATTGTCCTTTACTTTGCTAAAACCCAAACATAATACATTAGGCTACGAGAGTTGAATAGAAAAATTAGTCTTAAGAATCGTGAAAGGAGCCCAGAGAAAAAAATGTCAAAATTTAACAATTTTAGTAAATAATAGTTTTATTTCGTACTCTTGTAATAATTTATTCTATAAAATGTCGGCTTTTTTTTCCTTTTTTGGTAGGTCGGTAGGACTAATAGTATTATTTATAACATCAATGTTTTTAATTCTTGAAAATATGTTTTAAATACCTGGAAATTCAAAAGAAAAAACATTTCAAAAGGTTATTAAGACATTATTTCAAAAAAATATTTTTATTATTCTTGAATTAATAGTATAATCAAGGCTTATTATTTTTTTATTTATGGACAATGTGCAAATCCGTATCAAATAATAGTACATAATAAAACTATTTTATCTCACAATCAGTTTTAATCAAAAAATCACACGCCATCATTTTAAATTAAAACTGGAATGTATCTCCTAGAATTATGTGAACATCTCCCTCGAGCGTGACGTCATACGCGGCGAGAGAGACAGCGCTACCGTGTCTGTTTATCGTGCCACGGTCCACCATTCCACCCGTTAAGCTTTTGCTCCATTCATGGACGTATAAACATAGATGGACACAGCAATAAGATACCTTTAACACACAATGTTTTGAAGCTTCGATAGAATGTGATGCTTCCGCAATGAGCATAAGCGTGCTTGAATTTTTACTCGCGGGTAATTATTCAGATTTTAAAAATTGGAAGTAGTAATAATGTATAAAAACACGTTCAAAGAATTAAAAAAAAAAACGAGAGTTTAACTATTAACAAATCACATCTTTATAGAAAAATTAAAATACAATTTTATTTGCTTTAAAATTAATACAATTAAATATAGTTGAATTCAAGTTAATTTTTTAATAGTATCAAAATAATGCTACAATAATAAATCTTTATGTTTTCTCCTTAATTTGCTACCCAAATAGTTCGATCGTCAATATTATTTGGAAACCTACACAGAAAAATAAAAGAGTTTTATTCATTTCACTAATTTATTTGTATCCATGAGAAATATTAAATTAAAAAGGTACTAACCAGATCTTTTTTAATCAGATGATGTCTACTTACAATTTATAAATGTCTACTAATTTCATGATCTTATTCAATACATTAATGAACATAATAAACCCAAACGCCTATTAAAATGTAAACAAACACGCTTCCTCATTTCCTCATCTTAAATAATGTAAATTGTATGTATTGTACTTACAAATGAAAATGAGAGATCGGGATGTAAATATTTCGTTTATTTTATTTCACTTTTCACAAATATCACTCAAAATGCAGTAAAAATATCGAAAAATAACTTTTACTAAAAAGTAAACAAACATGGAACAGTATTTGAAGTTTGACGTAGATCCATAAGACAGAGAAATGTAAACAACCGTTGCCATTTATAAATAGTTTTCAGTGCTTCTACATATAAAATAGTTGATTGATATCTATTATAAGCTATTATTAAATGATAATGCACACTATGTGCATACTTGATATTTTGATTACTTACAATTAAATATATTAATCTAACCAATAAATTATTATTTTGGTCTGATAGCACTTGTGGAGTATAAAATACAGAGTAATATTTTCAGCCACTCGCGAATAAGAAATTTTAAAACAAAATGTGACAACAGTTGAAGGTGCTGAGAATGTGACCTATTCAAATAATTTTGACTTCACAATTTTATGTAAATAACTGAGTCCATCTGTGTTTATACGTCCATGGCTCCATTTGTATAAAACTTCTTGTATAACACATAGCTTTTTCCATGCTACTGCAGAAACTTGTGATATCTTATCATTGTGTACAGAAAATATTGTAGCATTATAGATTAATCATTAATAAATGCATTTATACAATATCTAAATCGTTGTCTTATTTTTCAGAGATTTGGTTGTGCCCTAATAATGACCGGTCAGCTAAATCTAAAGAAACAAAAATATGCCAACGATTTCAGCCCAATCGACAAGGATTGCTGGTGCAGTACCTGCAAGAATTATACAAGAGCATACCTTAATAAGATTACCGATCTACCAGTTGCATGTACACTCCTTACTGAACACAATGTTGCCTTCCAAATGAGATTAATGGACAAGATACGGAGCAGCGTTTCTGAGAATCGATTTCCGGAATTCGTACAAAAATTTATGCTGGATATACATCCCAATAAAGATTATCCCAGTTGGATTAAGGATTCCCTTAAAGCTGTGAATATTGAATTATTGTGATATTTTCTTAACTATTTTCTAGTTTACATAAGGTTTGTTCCAACACGTAATTTTTGTACGGTCTGGAAACCGTCACGAAACTACTTGTACCGTTTTTAATGCGCATGTTCATCATTTGTATCGTCTTATGACGGTAATGTGGAAACTGATGTTGGAACGATTTTGTGGCAACTGACATAATTTGGTGATAATCTATCTAAATAATTCTGGTTTTTCACCCTAGGTTCGGATAATAGCTCCAAATCATCCTCACTAATATAATAATCAGAAAAAGCACTAATTCCTTCGTCGTCAGTTATATTTATAAAGTTATAAATAACAAAAAAATAAATATATAAATAAATAACATGTCTATCATAAGCACCTGATAAAATCATTAACCTAACTTCTTCTTTTTTCTGAACAAATTTACAGTTTTAATATAAAATCTAAGTTAATCTAGGCCCAAAAAATTTAAAGAACTAGAATAAAATCTTAGTGCGCAAGTCATCCCAACCAGTACATGCATTTGCCAGATTACTGAAATTATCGTCACGAAACCGTCACTGGGCGATCAAAATTTTTGTTGGAACGGTCGGAAGGACGGTGAGATGAACGGTCATATTTTTGTTAGAACGAATTTTGTTTAGTGCGCAGGAGCGTAACCGTTACGTGACGGTTTTTCGTTGTGTTGGAACAAACCTATAGTAAAATTAGTCACTTTTTAAAAGAACCAGTTAACCAGTTATTATTGTGATGTTTTTAAGGTTATCTTAATTTATTTGTTTATTTTTCTTTTTTTATTATTATACCTAGTATGATTTAACTAAGAGTTAATTCTTTTCGTCTCAAGATACATATTAGAAAGTCATTTGATGATTTATGACTGTGACTAAAGATTCAGTTATTCGGGTATAGAATGTTTTATTATTATAATTTTAATAAAAAACAAGAATTATTGAACGTGAAAACCAATTTAATCTTAATGCCCCATGTTTGAGTTTTTTATATACCGGGTGGTGAATCGTCACTCCGGCCATAGGAAACTCAATGGGATATTCTAAATTGTTCAGTTCCCGTTTCCCTAATTATTTTACATCAAAAGTCAAGAAAAAATATTTGTAGAGGATTGAAATCTGCACCGAAAACAAATGTTAAAATTGTTCGACGAATTAAAAGTATTCCAAAATTGTGCGACATGTTGCGTTTGGTCATATTGATGTTTCTGATAATTGACAATATATTGAATTGCCAAATCAAGTCAAGGACTCATATCCCATATGCTAGGAGAGAGGTCCAAGAGGGTTTGGTGGATATATAATAATGTTTCCATGCATTCTACTAATCTGCAGTTTACTTCGTCTATTCCTTTTAGATGAATGACTTTCCTGATTACTTCACATTTGGTATTGCTGAAGGCTTCCTCCGCATCAAAAGAGGCTCCCAGCACCTTATTTTCCAAAACCCATTCGCTGTACTAGATGGTGAAGTGCTGTTTCTGTTGATACTCCTGGTCTGTATGCATATTGGTCTTGGCATATCGATTTTTTAATCAGTATTCCATCCTTAATATATCTGTTGATCAGTTTTTCTAATGTCTTCAGTATGATACAGTCTTCATTAGCCTTATTGGTCTAAGGGACTTTACCGACATCTGACCGGTTTTGCTATGAATCCTCGTTAACCTCCATGCTTTTGGTATGTACCCTAGTCCGATGCTGGCCTGAAGTAATATACTCATTTGTTTGTACAAAATTTGTGGTTCCTTTTGTAACAGTACAGGATAAATCCCGTCCGGCTCTGGTAAATTATATAGTTTAAATGAGTCTACCACAGATTTGATTTTATCCCGCGTTACATCTTTTTCTTGTCCTAGTCCTAGAGCCATATCTTATGGTGCTTGGTCCGTTTTGCTGTACAGAGTCTAGTATAACCGTTTTGCCTCAGACCCTGGGAAGTAAATCCTGAAGAGGATTTCGTCAGAGTCTCTTCACTGGTTAGTAATGTATTCTCCAGATTTCAATTGGAGTGTTAATATGCTCCTTGGCTGCTCTGAGTCTTTTTTGGTCTTCCTTAGGGTTTTATTGTATTTAGTCAGAGCTTTACGATAATTTTGCTTCTCTCACTTGTTCTTTTTGCACAGTTGAATCCTTTTATTACAACTTTCCTCTCTTTAGCAGTCTTTATTTCACAAGTGCACCTTCCATAACTCTCTCCTGGAATTGTTAAGCCAGCCATGTCTAGCTCACTTGTATTGGTTACCTTCTTGCTCTACGAAGAACGTAAGTCAGATCTCCTTGATAAGCTTGCCAGTCAGTTTTCCGTGGGTTGTGATAAGTTTCTATTAGGACTCATAGCGTGTTATTTCAAATCAGAATATGTCTTTAGTCTGAACAGCTCATCCCGTTAGTCGTTATGTCTATAACTTCTTTTCTATTTGAAGTTACAAAGGTCGGTTTATTACCTACATTATTACGTTTAATTATATTCCATAGTGAATTGTAATAGTAACTTACATCTTTCATTGGTTCCGGTGCTGTCTAAATTGGTACTATCAGAATTCTAGCCATAGCCAATGACCACCTGCGATGCTTTACCTCTGCAGTCGTTTATCAGTCTTTCCAACTATCGTGGTAGTGGTTGTTTGAGGTCATCATATGAATGATAGCCGAGTATTAACTCCTTCATTTCACCCCATCTGTGAACCTCAGGGTGTATAGAAGAATTCTAAAAATATCGTGGACAGAACACGGGTCCAACCAGTCCAGTTTACAACCCTGTGTGGGTCCTAGCCTCCCCAAGAATTCTCTTCCAGTCGTCTCTATCCATCGCCTTCCTCCGCCAAGCACTATTTCCATATTTCTCATATCTTGGTCTATGTTATCTAGGAATCTTGTTCTGGGTCTTCCTTTTCTTCTTTGACCAATAGGTCTATCAAGGAGCGTTTTTCTAGCCGGGTCGGTTTGCTCCATCCGCATTACATGGCCTACCCACCTCAGACGTCCTATCGTACGATATCTGGTTCCTGGTATATTCTATAGAGTTCGAAGTTGTATCGTCTTCTCCAGACACAATTTTCATTTACCGATCCATAGATTCGCCTCAGTATTTTTCTTTCGAAACATCCTAACATGTTTTCATTGCTTTTTATTAAAGTCCAAGTTTCTGAACCATATGTTAGGACTTGACGTATTATTGTTTTGTAGTGAATAAAGAAATACAAATTTTAATAACAATTACAACAAGAAAATTAGAATATCTCGGACATATTACACGTAGAGAGAAATACACCTTGCTCCAACTGATTATGTAGGGAAAGATCCAAGGAAAGAGAAGCATAGGGAGCATAGGAAAAAATTCTGCGTTACTGTGTTGAAGGTTTGCTCGACATTCGTATTTTCGCCAGCTAACCCTCCTATTATCATTATGAAGGTCACTCTACCCACCCCATAAAAGGTTTTAAGTTTTTAAGTCTATGAAAGAAGCATTGTCGAACGAGTAGACTAGCATTTGTCTTTTCTCCTTTTCTGGACAGCCAAATAATTATTTTTCTTCCAATATGTGTTGGATTATAATAATAAAATATTGTATACATATCCCGAGATATACACATTTGGAAAATTTAAGACGGAACATAGGGATTTTTAATACAGTTACTAAGATCCTCTGACCGGCAATTACCCAGTGTAAATTTAAATATAACGTCGCGATGTCTAATAAATAATTTATTTGTTCGACTGGATTGCTGCTCCTTCGCGATTTCTAGTAGTGTATTCGGCAGGTGTACGTCGACACTGTTGCCTATCGTCCACTGATTTTCTGTGTTTTTGTGCAGATAATAACAATGTTTTATTAATAACAATTTTTTGTGTTCATTAGATATTATTTGAATTGGTTAGTGTATACCTAGTTTAATATATTTATTATTTCAAAGATTGTTGATAATTTAAAATTTAAAAGGATGTATATGATACATCAAAATCTACAGATTTTTGCCGAAGGTATTTACCGATTTGACACCAGTCCCAAGGAACATCACTGGCCGAGCAAAACAAATACATATGCCCTTTGCTTCTTATTAGTGTTTGTGTTTGGTAAGGTGCGCACGTGCCCAGCAGTCGAAAAATATCGACTGGAGAAGGAGTCCAGTCGAACAAATGAATTAATTATAAGACATCGCGAAGTTATATTGAAATTTACACGGGGTAATTGCAGGACAGGAGAAGGTATAACTTTGAACTATACAACATATACCAGGATCTGGATATCATAATTATCATTAAAATAGGAAGGCTACGTTGGATTGGACATGTGGAAAGAATGGAAGAAGGCGAAATACCAAACAAAATATTCAAACAAGTGCCAGTAGGAAAAAGAACAAGAGGAAGACCGAAGCTTAGATACGTAGAATAAATAGAAAATGATATAACAACATTAAAAATTAAAAATTGGAAAAAAAAGCACGAAACAGGTCAGAATGGAGAAGAATCCTTGAACAGGCCAAGACCCAAAAAGGGTTGTCGAGCCAGTGATGATGATGATGAATTGCAGGACAGGCGATCTTAGTAATTGTATTAAAAATCCCTATGTTCCGTCTTAAATTTTCCAAATGTGTATAGATTTGTAGACCGATTTTAATTTAAGAAATAAAATTCATATACCTATGGCTACTCAACATTATAGGCAGCCTATGTGGGCTTTTTCCAGTAAAAGTATAATTTAGTGTAATTATATTATTAGATATCCAATTAATTACGGTTCCTTTTCCTAGAATTCCTCAAATAAAAACATACACAGTATTTAATTTTTATATTTTTATAAAAACTTAACCAAAGATGTTACAAAATAATTTTGACACAAATGTAAAAAGTTGAAAAACAAATAAACTGTTTAAACAAAAAGAGTTTGTTTTCTTCTCAATATGATCGCCCTTATTGAACTAATACGAGTATTCACACAAAATTTATATTACATAAAATCATCGGAATCATTGCCGTCATCGTATTTGGCCATATTCTCCGCATTCATTAGAGAATTATAACTTTTAAGTTCTGCATCGTCCTTCCGTTTCTTTTCTTCGTCTTCCTCTTTTTTCTTTTGCTCCCGTAAGATTTTCTTTTTGTCTTCCTCTCCAGCCTATCTCTCTTTTCACGTTCTCCCCTGAAATCTAAAAAGAATGTCGCTTAGACAACAATATTGTTTACCATAATTATTTTTATTTCAAGTGAGTCAATATTATTTGAATGTTTCATGGTTAACAACAATTAATGGTGGAGTAAAGATGTTTCAAAACTTCTAAGTAGGCATTCCCGAAAAAAAAAGAATCCTAAAAACAACTATTTTAATTTCATAGGAAGAAGGAATAGAAACAAGTGCTTTAGAAAATTGTGTGCTGAGAAGAATACAGAAAACGGAATAAAATAACAGGAATTGTTCTTAAAGTAAGGATCTTGGACTGTTCAGACAAATGTAAGTGGGTAATACCATCGAGCAAAAGACAAAAGAGGGAAACAAGGAAAGGGAGTCTCTCTGTGGTCTCTCTCCTTGTTTGACATCAAATTTAGTTGGGTTATGTTATTGTTTGTCCCAAATGTCACATGAAATCTTATTTATATTGAAGTTTTTTAACAATTGTGTCGCATTTTGGACGATTACCGTTAATAATTAATTAAAACTTTCTCGTCTAAGACACATTCTGAAAAATATTATACAGCTACTGTTAATAAGTGTCTGAAAATTTAAATTTGGCGCATTCGCATTTCCGGATATGTCCGCCATCAGAGGCCACTTTTTTGGTCTCCTTTTCATAAGGATTAGATTCCCTCTTTTGTCTTTTTGTTCGATGGGTAATATCACAGCCACCTAAAGTTTACAAGCCGTGAAGTAAAAAAGGCAACGTCGCAACATATGATTAAAGTAGTCCGACGAAGGAGAAATATGGTGGCCCGTTTTGTAACCCGAAATATTTTAAATAATAATTCATAGATCTCTTTTTAACATTGCATAAATAAGAGAAATTTTAATTAAATTTAATAAAAGGAAAATATAAAATAAATAAGTTAAACCTGTTAATAATAATATTTATTTTCCATAAAAGGTTAGAAATGTATATGAATATAAATTATAGTAAACATTTATAATTTTTAAAATCTAGAGGTCTAATTAATTGTAGGTAGTATCTAACAGATTAACAGAAAATACGGGTATGTACTCAGTGTACAAGCCAGTACAAACCAGGCCAGGAGCCATACATCAATCATTTTGAATTACAACATTCTTGTAAAGTATAAAAAACACTTTTAATTAGATAGTTTTCTAGCTCAGTGCACAACTTTTTATGTCTCATTAATTTTATTGATATCACATTAACAAAAGGAGAGGTTACATTAACACTGTAATCAATGTCACTGAACATTGTACAATTTTATGGAAAAAGCCAATAAAAAAGTCAAAGAATATAAAATAACAAAATAATCTTAAATTCGTAAAATTATTGCACAACTTACATAATTTGTACAGGCAACCACACAATTCAAAACAAATTGTAGCTCATGGACTGAATAATATAGTGTTTCGGAGAGATAGATTTTTGTCCTTTTACAGAACTGGGTGAAAGATGTTGAGGATTTAATTTGTCCCAGTAGGTGATTGTATAGTTTTTTTTTCACTATATAGAATAGAATTCTTTACTTACTCAGAGACCAAAATCAGTAAATAAACATCATAAACAAAACTTCTAATGGAGTAGCCATGATCAGGTCTTTTAGGAAAAATTTTTAGATGCTTTCGAATCAAATAGTTTCTAAAATATATACAGGGGCATGCAGATGATTGACAGAGATCTTATTGCAAGGCAAGCTGAGGCTAGTTTCTTACTTCAGGAATCAGTATGCAAGGACCATTTACAAATCGATAAGAATACTTAGTAAATATTACAGAATTAACGATATTGATTTAGCTATCATTTAAAAACGTGTACTGAGTAGTTCCTTATCCACATTAAAGCAAGGTATGAGTTGGAGTCAGACGAAACCTTTATTGTAAGTATATCAGCGGTTATAATTGAATGTAGAGTTGAAATATTAGAGTTGCTCCAGCTGACACAGAAGAAAAATCATTGTTAGTAGAAAGAATCAGGGTGCCACAATGAGTTGAACTTTGACGAACAGACCATTTTTCTAATTTACCACCTGTCACAATCCATTTTAAATCGTTAACACTTATCAAATTTTCACCTATATACAGTAACTTTTTAGAAATTTTAACACTACTTAATATCTTTAGACCAATGTCGTATGAGTCACTACATTCTTGAATTTTTAAAAAATAAAAATGTACACTGTTATTCGTCACTTTTTGATTCCTCTCATTTAAAGTAATCTTCATGCTGCATTTGTTAATAAAGTTATCAAAGGAGTCTATTAAATCTTATTTGAGAAAGTCTTGTTCCAGTAGTTCCAATTTGTGGTTCTCTCTATCAAAGTAATATGTCATCTTTCACATGAATCACTTCTGTCTATAGGTTTAGAAATAACATATATGCTGCAAGAATGGGGAAAATCCTAGGGGAAAATCCATTTAATTGCAATTTTGGATATTTTAGTTTTTCAGACACAACATGACTTTCTTTGTCTTTCCATGTATGATGAAGCATAATATCTTCAGAATGAAAATGCTCTTCACAACAGAAGATTTTGTTGGGGTATAATTGTCTTATTTGATAGCTTTTAACCACATCACGTAATTGTTTATTTTTGGGAAAGAAAATGTGCTTACAGGCCCTTCCAACTTCAGAATGTTTGTGTACTTACTTTTACATCGAAGTACACAATGTCTTGGCATCTGTAAATGAAAAGAACAATATATTTAAGCTTGTGTGGCATTTCAACTATTACGATATTAACTGAAGAATAAACCCTCGGTTGTCGCAAAAACTGTGATTTATTTGCCCAAAGGGTTAATATAACAAAAGAATTAAAAACTACCTAAATAAATACTGAGAATAATGAAATTCCACACCTAACCTAATATTGTCTATACTTACATTTGAGTTTATTTCAACTTGTAGTACAATATCAATAATTAGTCGAATAAACAACTAACTTAATAAATATCTTAAATAACTGACTAGATATATAAAAGCACTTAATATTAATTAAAAAAATATAATATTCAAATAGTTATCAATTCACTGCAATCAGCTGTCCTCATTCAAATAGGACTACCCTTAGATGTTGCCAAATTTCTACTTCATGGCTTGTAACTTTAGGTGGCTGTGGTAATACTGCACTTGACATGTATCTGACAGAAAAGGCAATAGGCAACAAATGTCCGAAAATCTTTTCAATGTAACAAAAACTATAATGAAATGACCTTCCTTAGGTACAATCCAGAGGCAAATAAAATGTATAACAATCCTGAAGTAAAAAAATATAATCAATAATGACTTACCTGGATGCTCTTCTTTCTTTGTTTTGTTTAGCCTATTGACAATTTCATTAATTCGTTTTGCTACTCTAATTTTTCGCACTTCCTTTTCTTTATGAAATCCCACTTGGCCAACTTCCATGCTAGGTGTTTTTTTCAGATTCGCCCACATGGTATACACTACATCGACATCATTCATTTTGTTTCCATTTATGCTGTTGGCTTTAACGAGTTGGGCGGCATCTTCTAGAACTGCTGAGGGTATATCATCTATTGTTTGTCCCTTAAAGGCAAGGAAATCAATTTAGAATACAGTAAAACAAATGCATTGTAAGGATATTTATTACTTACAATTGTCATTCTTCATTATTTATCCTAGTGACTGATTATAACAATAGATATCATTATATTCATCATCTATTCTTATCTATTTCCTTAATTTGTAGTGTTATTTCTTCAATGTCTTTATTCCTAGAATCGATATTTTTGATTATTTCTCACAATTTGAATTACTCCACTCTTGGCTTTAATGATTTATTTTTTTTACTTAAACATATTGTACAGATAAGGAAATGTAGTGAGTATTGTAAGAAGTAGGATATGTTTACTATATAAAGAAAGAAGAAAATCAAGATTAGTTAACACCTTAAAACTGGGAGATGAAAAATACAAAAATTGATAGTCTTACTTTAACAAGAAACCACAAAAACAGGTGATTTAACTGTAACTTTCAGAAGAAATAAGCCACAACAACCCTAACAATTTGCCATCAAACTGAATCATTTAAATTAAACTCATAGCATAGAGGGTGTCCCAAATTGTTATGTTTTGCAGGTATACCGAAAACTAGACTTCTATTTCCCAATCAAATCATCAACAGCTCCCCACATTAGCAAGATATGGGGCGAATATTGAAAAACTTCGAAAATGACAGGATTATATAACTTCTTAATTAAGAATTTTTTTAAAAACTTGATTGGAACTTTGATAGATATATTATGGAAGGGTTCAGTGGAACAAAAACAATATTTTAGGGGGTCTTACTAGGGAGATATAATACCAACTTATGTTTTTTTTTTATATGGGACACCCTATATATTTTAATATTTTTCGTTCACATTTTAATTCTCTTTCATCTAATATGGCATTATCTAATATAACCCGTCGGTCTTTAAGCTTGGTCCTAACTATTCTTCTTCTTAATGTGCCCTATCAAGTCCCCTTGACGTTGGCGATTAACATGGCGAAACTGTCTCTGTGTCGAGCTATTCTAAATAGTTGCTCAGCTTTCTTTATTCCTGTTCACTCATCATAATAAGTTGAAGAATATTATATCGGTCTCCCCTTACTACGTGTCCAAAATAGGCCATCTTTCTACATTTGATGTTATCAAGCAGCTCGCGAGCAGCATTTGCGCTCTCAAGGACTGCCACATTTCTCAGCATAGCCTAACTATTAAAAAAACATTTTTTTGCAAAAAATATTCTGATGCTTTTCTATTTCGGCTTCTTGACGCCGCCTTTTAAAACGTTTTAATATGTGCCTTAAGAGTAGGCTTCAGTTTCGGCAATTACTTTCTCATTGGAGCGATATTTCTTGCTATGGAGCGATTTTTAGATCGGAAAAAAAGGTAGTACTCGCTGGGAGCCAGATCTAGACTACACAGTGGGTGCAGAAGATGGAAGAGGAATAGGAAAAAAAGAAAAAGATGGGGTCCGATAAGGATGATAGCGACAGTGAGATCGAAAAAACCAAGTTTACTTGTTGCAAAACTAAGAAAATAAGCATAATAATAATGTGTAAAGTGTAGAAAAGCTTCGATAAATCATACACGGCACGGGATTGGGCCGAAAAACTTCAAATTTTAGATGAAACGCGTGTGAATTGTTGTGATTCTAACATAACCTTAAATAGTGGGAATGGCACGGAAAATACGATCATTCATCTGCGAAATGGAATAATGTGTGAGTTAAGTTAAGAAAAAGGTAACAAAAAATACCATGGAGGTAAAAAATGCTGCAAAAACTAAGAATAACAATCCATTAATTTTAAAAGAACAAAATGATTTGAAACAGACTACAAGGTCAGTTGACGCAGTCACAGAACAGCCACTTTGTTCTGTTGATTTGTCTGAGCTGCCACCTAAACCAAGAATATCAAACAGTTCAATTGCACCCGTGACGCCTTATTAAAGACATATTAAAGATATCAACCGTCCGCTGATTGAAGATGAAAATGATAAAGGGGAAACCCAAAAAAGAGGTTTTTACAAAACAACTCGTCCAACAATTATTGAACGACCAGATCCACTCCAGGGAACCAATTAGAATGCTGGAAGTATCCTGCGTGTGGCCACAAAATATATGGCGATTGTCCTGTCAGGTCTCGATCCAAAACGGAAGCTCAGGAAATACTTAAATATCTAAAGAAAGAAAATTGGATGAAAACGTTATCTGCGAAAAAATGAAAACCAGGACAGATAAGTACAAAAGTTCATTTAAAATTACTGTTCCAGAACTAAAAATACCTCATTTAATGCAACAATAATTATGGCCGAATGGTGTAATTTTTAACCATTTTCAGAATGTACAGAGGCACCCCCGTGTCAAAAGACAGTCTACGGCACACACCAAAGAAATTATTAGTAATCCACTTAAATACGCAATCAATTAAAACGAGTATTGATGCCATTCATTTTATCCTAGAAAATCATGATGAATGATTTGCTCTTTGTTTAACTGAGCACTGGAAAACAGAAGAACAACTGCGGGACTACAATGTACGGAATTTTTAACTGATCTCTTCACAGGAGCATGGTGGCAGTGCGGTATACATCAAAGACACGTTTATTGCAAAAACCCGGAAAGATATTTCTACTTTATCAGAAAGAACAATGTTTGAGTGTTCCGCTGCAAAGGTGCGAAATAATAAGAAGAAGATTGTAATCCTATCCATCTACCGAACAGAAGACCCACAAGTTTTAATAAACAAATTAGACCAAATACTTTGTAATTTTAGTTGACAAGGACTCCATCATTGTTCTGGCTGGTGATTTTAAATTAGATATGCTGCTTGAGGGTGCTAGGTAAACAGACACATTACAAATGTTTTTGAGCTCCTTTGATATTAAACCTTCCATCAAAGACTATACACGCATACAAGGTAACAAAAAATCTTGTACGGATAATATTTTTACTCTTTTACATATTTGATTCTCTTGTATTCAATCCTCATACATCTGATAATACTGCTCAAAAGGTAAAATTTGAATAAAATGAATTTTAGTCAAATATAATAAAAAAATGAATATTTGGCAAGGAAAATAAATGTTTTTTTAAATTCATGTTAGGTAATGTAGTCTTTGTATCTGTTTTTGAGACATTAGAAGTAGCTAATCGGTGGGATGTTTTCCATTCAAAGAGATAAATACAGCAAATAAAAAAAATCACAAAAGTACTTTAAAAATGATGATATAAAACATTGTAAAATCTAGGCTTGATGTTTTGTTTACACTGTCTACCAATAATGTTGATTATAAAGATATTTACAGGACAGAAAAACGCAAATACAATTCTTTACTCACTCAATCTCGAAAAAATTGTTATAAAGAACGAATTGAAAATAGCAAAAATAAAACTAAAACGGCTTGGCAATTGGTAAAAGAGATTAAGAGTAACTCCAAAAATCAAGGTAATTTCTGTTTGGAGGCCCTCAGGTGCTTTCTAACGAAATAAATGAATTTATGGCAAATGCCGCGCCAGAAGCTGTAAAGAAAATAAAGCATGTAAAAAATTTCAAATTAATATCGAACAAACTAATCATTGCATGTTTTAACTCCCGTTTCAGAGAAAGAAATAAGTCATATAATAAATAACTTAAAAAAACAAGCATAGCTCTAGTTATGATGAAATATCAACCAACTTAATTAAATATGTTTTATCAGAGATTTCTCTTCCTCTTTCTTTTATAGTTAATGCTTCTTTCAGGCAAGGTAAATTTCCTCAAAGTTTAAAACTGGCAATTGTCAAGCCACTACATAAAAAAGGTGATGTTACTAAGATGGAAAACTATAGACCAATAAGCCTTCTTCCATCATTCTCAAAAACTTTTTTACTACAAACAACTTATTTGTATTTCACAGCATGGTTTTCTCGCAGGGAGATCTGTTGAGACAGCTACCTATGATTGTATATCAAAAATTTTAGAAAAACTGGAGGCAAAGATGAAAACACTAGGTGCTTTTTTGGATCTATCTAAGGCTTTCGATAGCCTAGATCGTGTTCTTTTATTACAAAAATTTCATCTTTATAGAATACAGGGACTGGCATTAAAATGGATAAAATCATTTCTCACAGATAGGTCGCAAGAGGTATGCCTGGAGAAAAGGGGATGTAAGGTTTATTCTGAACCGATCAATTTAAAATTAGGCATACCACAGGGGAGTGTCCTGGGCCTTTTCTCTTCTTGGTCTATATAAACGACCTTCCAAATATGGTGGTTAGTAGTTTCTCAAACCTTGTAAATTTCGCTGATGACCCAAATGTGCTTTTCTGGAAAAAAACTTTAGAAACACTCCTCACAGTGGCAGAGCAAATTCTAAGTAAGGCTGGACAGTGGTTCAGTGGAAATCAGTTGCTTAATACAGTTTTTATCTACTTTAGATCCAGCCAGTCAAGAGAACAGTTTCCAGATACAATTAATTTTCTATCACAAAACACGGAACCTGCTAGATCAGTTAAATTTCTTGGTATTCATATTAACCAGAATCTGAATTGGAAAGAACAAATACAAAATACAACAAAAAAACTTAATAGAGCCTGCTACTCATTAAGAGTGTTAAAGAGCTATCTAGACCAGAGGATTTTACTATCAGTATATTATGCAAACTTTTATTCTGTTATGTGATATGGAGTAATCTTCTGGGGTGCTGCAATAGATATCTGAACTGTCTTTATAGTCCAAAAAAGGCAGTCTGGGTGATCTTAGGACTAAAGGTGGGAGAATCCTGTAGAGGCCTATTCAAATCACTCATTCTCAGCCATCTATATATTTGAATGTATTATGTTCCTCTTTAAAAAAATGTCTTTGTTTTATCACCTGCTTCTCAATCATGAATATAATACAAGAAGCCTTAATTTGAATTCTTTGGTATGCCTTTGTTAAATTTTATAATAGTCTACCATCTGATATTGAGCACTATACTGTAGCAGAGTGCCTGGCCTATTGTTCTCCTTGATCAGCATATTTAATTTGTAATGTTAATATATTTTAAATGTGTGATGTCAATATATATTTTTTAATCTGTAATTAATAATGTGACATTATTTGCTCAATTATGTTAAAAAATTTATGCAAATAAAAATTTACTCTACTCTAGAAGCAATTCAAAGCCCAATTGCCATCGTTTTTATCAACTTGTGATATGGTACATTGTTTTGGTGAAATAACAATTTTTTCTTGAACAAATGAATCCTTTCCTTTGCAATTTTGGTCTTTATGCTCTAAGTATTAGTATTTGTTACTGAGTGTTTTGTTTCTGTCTTTAACATGATGCCATATTATTAGGTGAAAGAGAATTAAAAATGTAAAGAAAAGTATTAAAATATATAGAGTATCCCATATAACAAAACATAAGTTGGTATTATATCTCCTTAGTGAGACACCTTAAAACAATTTTTGTGTGCCACTCAAAACCTTCTATAATATAACTATCAAAACTTCCAATAAAGTTTGATTTGATTGAGCAATTGTTACTTTAACAAAAAATGAAGTAATGGCAACTTAACTACTTTTTTTCTATTTCCTCTAGTTTTCAGTATACTCTGCAAAACATACCAATTCGGGACACCCTATTCAAAAGAACTTCAGACTATAGAAAAAAATCATAGTTAATACCATACTCAAAAAGTATTTTTTTCTTCTGCTATCTTGCTTCTATTCATTGATGTTAAATCATATTCTCAAATGACACTAAATATAGTAGATTAGATATTTATCTCTTATCATATCTCTTATATATTGTTTATATTTATTTTAGTTACTATTAAGAAATTCCAACAATAAAAAAATTATAGAAGTTTATCTCTATATTAAGATATACAAAAATAAAAATTGTGGTAACCAAAAGTAGAGTTGCATACCAATGAAATAATCATAAACACGATTTAATTAGGAATAAAGATATAACTATTATAATATAAATTGAAAATCGAAAATTATAAAAGTAATTTCAGGATTCAGCCCAAATCTAACTGTTGCCAAACAAACGACAATGAATGCATCAAAATGCACTGGCATGGGGATTTATAATTTGTCTAGGCATACTCCATACTAAAGTAAAATGTAAAATAAAAAAGACAGTTAAGGTTTGATTTCGTTACAGCATACCACCATTCACTGATATGTATATTTCTGCCTCTTGGCATCCTCATGCTCTAAGTAAGTAAGTAAGCTCAACGAATATTTTAAATATTTACTTTTATTGATGGAAAATGATTTATTTCATTAAGCTTACCATGAGTTTGCTTTGAGTTGTTAACAATTATTAATTAACAATTTAAAAATAATGATAGTCTTTAGTCAAAGGAGATATAGAAAACAAAAACCTAAAGGCAAAATATTTTCACTCTAAATTAAGTAGTATTTATCATCACAAAATTTAAATAAAACGAAAGCAATATATATGAAGTATTGCATATTTTGTGAACTGTGAGTTTGTTATTACTCTTCCAAGCTCCTGATATAAATGATTGCATAAAAGGTTTATGTCCAAAGTACTACTTACAGGTGGTAACCGAAGATAAACATGGGCAGAAGATACTTTATCCACATGAAACCAAACATCTTCTGGCCAGCCCCATTTGATTAGATCTTCATCTGGATAAAAAAAAATTTATTCAGAAATTAGAATGCAGTTAACAATCAATTACCCGATGTTTGAATGTACTTACTTTCATTTTTGTCAATACCCATAAATAAGACTGTAGGAGGTGAAACAACATTGCTTTCGAAGTAAAATACCATTTTAAATGCCTATCATTAAGTATTTCAAATTTAAACGCAACTAAAACTTAAAAATGAATTTCAGGTTTGGAGTTTTGGAGGTTAGAAATATTTTTGACATAAAATGTACAGTTAGTTGCCTATATACCATGGCCTGGAATCTTATATGAATGACTTGGTTCATTCCCCCATCACTTTGACCCCAGCGAGTTAATAAAGAGAAATGACAGCCTATCTCTCTCACGAAGACTTTAACCAATCATAAACCAAATAAAAGATCAAACGACGCAATGTCAATTCTGTCAATCCAAAGTAATGACAGATTTTCCGTTTGTTTACAAGTCTTCAATTTTATTTTATTATCTTTAACTTTCGTTTGCATTTATTCTTAGTAATTTTAATTTAAATTTGGTTACTTAATTTTTATTTTGAGTTTATTTTGAGTTACCTATTGTAGCAAAGAATTTTTGTGTAGTGCTAGTAACAAAACTAAACATGGTGAATTATTGTATTGTTCGTTGTGTACAAATCATGGAAAAATTACAAAAAGGATGATAGTAAGTTGTCAGGAAGCAAAAAATAATAGTATTTAACTTCTGCAAATATGTGTAATAAATATTATGTAATTATTTTATAACTGTTTTATCTTAAACAACAAATAAATATACGTATATCTACAAAAAATGTGCATCTTTTATATATCTTATTTTCCAATAAATTTTAATTAGTAACGAAATAGCCCACAAGAGGCGCTAAAGGGTATGTATGTAAGGGGTGTTCATTCGAATTTGCCGCCAAAAGATGATTAGTATTGACCCCAGCCGCAAGGGGCCTAATGAACGAAATTTTTACATTGAGTTGCCTATCTATTTCTACTATTATATTATTTATCTATGCCTATATACTGTGTAAAATGGTAGAGATGGGAGATAATAAAACCGGTTAATGGTATATTTGAACTTTTGTGGGAAGAAGCATTTTTTATTTTGTATCTTCATTAATGTACAATACCTTGCAGAAAATATAAATTAAGCTAAAATGAAGAACAAATAATTTTAAATTAATTAAAATAAACAAAACATTCCTGGAATATTAGAACTTGAACATATAAATTTGGGAGCAACAGCGTAGATGAAAACAAACAAAGATAAAATACAATACAAGTTCCTCATGTGATACAGATCATGCTAGGAACTTAGTAAAAGAACAAACGTATTATCTCACGAATGAGTCGAATGACATATATTTGACAGCTATAAAACAATGTAAAGAAAAAAGAAAACAAAAAGAAAATTATTTGTTTATCAAATTAGGTGTAGATTTATTAACATATTTCCAAAAGCGCAAAATTTACAAATACCGAAGGGTTTATGTACGAATTAATTCACTGTCAGTAGTAAAGAATGGCGGAAGCTGTAGAAAATTTAGTGACTGTCCCACAATGTAAGGAAAAAGGTATGACCTATTTTCATTTTTTAACCTCAGAAAATAAATAATAGTTTTGTATATCGCTGGTTTGCGAGAATATAGACGGAACTAAAAATGAGTGATTTTAGAGAATGGCACTTTTTAATTTCTTTGTAAATATTTTAGTGCATATTGCAAAATGTAAATAATTTATCGATGAGTCGAGTTTACTAACTAAAGGTAAATCTTTCGTAGTATCAAAAACAAAAACTTTTTAGAACTTTTATTAAAATCATAATATGAAAATTCGTCATATAAAGGGGCGGTTCAGACATCAGTCTTTATTCATGAGACTCCAACGTATAAAAATCAACTAATGTCATTTATTAATTTTTGTAAAGCCTCTTAAAAATACAAATGAAAACTTAAAACAGTGTTTAAAACTTCAGTACTTATAAGTATAACAAATAAAAACAGTTTTATAACAACTAAAAACAGTTTTATAACATACAGTAGTAACTATATATTTAGGTATTAAAAACAATGTTTTTGAAAATAAATGAAATCAAAATAAATGTCTTCAAAACAAGTTACGAAAAAAAAAACAGAAACATTAATTCTTAAAAGGAAATGCAAGTAACATAAATCATTTATTTTACAACGCCTCGTAAAATTGTCGATAATAGCTTGAAATAATATTTTTGTTAACTAAATCTACTAGTCCTCTCTTCTTATTTTCTGAGATTCCGTTTCTTTTTTTATAAGCATATTGCAATCTGTAATTTTCGTCCAACGATTTTGATGCACGGCTAGTAACTTTCACACACTTAAATTCATTTTCACCGTAAGATGTTTTATAGAAGAAGAATCCTTTGTGGTCAGCATCTACTTTTAAAATCTTTATATCTGCCATTTTCACACTCTCATTATCAGTATTTTTATTAAAATTTCTACCCACGTCAGAAGCTAACGACTTTAATTCGTAAAAACTTGTATGATCCATTTCTATGACTTTTTAAGGAGATCCGTTCTTTTTTGCATTGTGAATAATTGAAATATATTGATCCGGTGTAAAGATAGGTCCTGATTTCAAAGTCTTTTTAATGTTTCTTTCGATAACAGAATGCACACTGTCACCTTCATTTTGCGTATGCCCTTTTATCAAAAATTTATGGGTGATACTATTAATATGAGCAAAAGTAGAAACAGCGTACATGTACATACTGATAATAAATTTATTCTTTTGCTGTCCACAGCAGTTATCTGAGTAAAAAATTATATCTTGTTTGGCTTCAGTTGTTAGATCTCTGCCAAGACTTTTTAAATATTCTAAAACAGAGGTCCCTACTTCTATAGCTCCTCTATTTGCCTCTCCTTCATGCCATACGTAGCAGAACGCATTTTTATTTTTCATCTCATAGATCGTAAAGTTAAAGGTATTTACTTTTGAAACATAGTAAAAATTAGACACCTCCCCCCTAGGACATGACATCACAGCCTGTAGGTCGCAGACTGCTACAATAGTTGATTCTTTATCTTCTGCTTCTTTCTTGTCCTTATCCTTTTCTATTCTTGAGAGCTCTTTTTCTTTTAGATAGTTCTCATATTTAGACTTCAGTCGATCTTTATCTTCTCCAATTGCGTTATTGCAAACCACACAATCCTCGCACTGATCTTTCTTAGGTTGGTAAAATGTTATATTAAATTCTCCATTAAATATTTTATTAAACATGATATAATTAGCACTTTTTTCTCTTTTTTATTGGATGTTATGTTATTGGATTCTGTATTACATTCTTCTATTTCTCTATTGCTGGAGGAAGATGAGCTAGAAGTCGAGGAAGAAGAGCTAGAAGTAGAGGAATTTGAACTAGAAGATGAGGATGACGATATGGACGATGTGGATGGTGATCTTTGTCGCAAAATCAAATTATTTTCTTCTGAATTATTACCTGAAATTAAATAACATTTATTTATTTATAGAATAAATACCAAAAGCAACAGTTATCGTAATTGCATGCATTTTGCTGGTTAGAACAAGCCAATATGTAATAGAAACACACACATTTTTGTAATTCCCAGGACTCGAACCCAGGATACGCTCAGCCACTAGCGTGAGTGTTTGCTTAACAGGAAGAACTATACATAAGAATAACATCGAAAAAAAATTTCGACTGATTGAATTCAAATATTTAAGTATGCTTACCCGATGTGTTATTATAATCCATATCATTTTCGATATTTTCATCGCAACTTCTTGCATTTAACGGCAAATTGCTTTTATTTTTATTGGTACCTAAAATATTTTGAATGGTTAAATATTTGTAAGAATAACTAAAATTGAGATAAACTGCAATTATGCGAAAATTGTAGGCTGACCTTCTTGTTCACTATTCGTTAAATCATGTTGATCCTCATTTTTTTTTATTTTTACTGGCCCCTTCTTTCAACTTTTCCAAGAATGAAATTCTTTCTGCCATCTTGAATAGCTCTAAAGTAGATAATTATCTGAAACAAATAATTTAATGTTAATGATTAATCATCAATGAATATCATGTAAAAAATTAACTCAATATTTCTATCCCAAAATTCCTTGAACACAGATGCATTTCGTAATAAGAAGCAAAACCATGCCCATATTATTCAAAAACAATGACGTTTCTTATTTTCGACAGAATAAAATCTGCTTATTTTTCGTGAATCTAGACTCAAGTTACATAAAGTCAGTATAAAATACAATAAATAATAAGCAATCACCAATATTTATTCAAGAATACAGGCGTAAATAGAAATAAGGTATAAAAAGATACTTACTTTGATCAAAAACAACGACGGATCACTAAATGTGTCACTATTCTTGAACAAAATTAAACAATTGTTGCAACCGAATTGTAAATACGTCGGTATTTTCGAAACTTGACCTTGCGTTCATTCCGTTGTCACAGGCTGAACTGAGATGCGCCTTTGTTTGTGATTACACTTCGAGTGTTTTGTCTCAAATGAATAATGACGCTGTCTCTTTTTAACGACCGCTGTCGCGAAATTGGCATTGCTTCTCTGTTCACGATAAAATATCATAGATTTATGCTTGTTTGGCATATAGAACTCAATTTGACCGAATTTTGAATTACGCCGATATTCTCGAAAACCAGCGATATGTAAGATTGAGAATTTTTACATTTATTCCACATAAATAAGACACATATTACTGAATTGCACTCTAATATAAAGGTATTTGTATTAAATACTTCCTTTAATTGTAGGTCCTGCAGTTAGACAAAAAAAAAAATATGCTAAGCTGAAGTACTGCCACAGTATATGGCTTTTCAGAATTAAACTGTGAACTGCTAGATGCAAAAAATAGTTTTATTTTATTTTCTTATATCCATTTATTTTTATGTGTAAAAAAGTTTAATATTTACTTTAGTATTTATTAATTATTTGACTACAAACAAAAAATATTAAACAAAAATTAATGTTTTGCACTATGGAACCTGCATTACCAATTCTTTATGGATTGCCATATATTTATCATATTTTTATGTGTAAATTCATATCCTTCATATCCAATAGGTGATCAGTTTAAGTTCAATTTATTTTTAATTTTATCAAGTTGTCTGGAAATTGTTATTAACAAATAACAAAAAACAATTTCCTGAATTGCTTCAAGTAATTTTTTTTTAGGCATACCTCATCAAATTAAATACTTTTTCTATTTCAGTAATTCTCTGACAAATGCTTTGAGTTATTTGCAATTTTTTGTTGAAAAATTGACTTACTTAGTGATTTATAGGATTTTTTTTCTAAAAAGCTACTAAATAAATTGCAATTTTATAAACAGCTTTTTAATCTTTAAATCAAATACAAGTAAGAATATTTTGGGAAGGATAAATGGATTTTATTATGCTCAAAACATGGAACTTTTTGAATATAGTATTTTTCATACAAAAATACATGCATGTCATTCAAGATTGATGGCACCAGAACCAGACAGCATTGCCAAAACATCAGAATAGTTAATAAGTGAGGAATTTTTAAAATATCAAATCTGTCAAACTATTATATAACAGTAAATACACTTAGTTTTAAGACTACTGCAACACACTAAAATAAATAAGAAAACATTTTAATACAAAATTATATATTCTAAATTTTAAACTTACCTCTTTTAGAGCATTAATAGTAAAAATGTCCCTCCATTCTTTCTTGTTCAAAATAATCTATCTTATATGAAAGCTTATCAGCTTTCTACAGACTATTTAGTTGTTTTGGCATAGCACAATCACAATACACAACAATAATTAGTGTTTAAAGCTATTAATCTAAATTTGATATGTATTTATAAATACAATTTATTAATATACAGTGATGAATGCCTTACCACCTGGTTTTTTAATGTAAGAGATAGAAAACACAGTTACCTTGTGAAATAAAAAGAGATAAAACTCGTAGAGGTGGGAAATAATCGATAGAAACCTATAATTTACATTACATTACATTACCACTATCGATAGTCTCACACCTTTAGATGTTAGATGTGGATATTTGACTTCAGTCATAATTATAAAGATAATCTTGAAAAAAATTTATTTTTAATAATTTCCGATGTTAGAATAAATAATTGAATAAATTAAGATATAGTAAAAAACATTAATTAGTAGCAATTTTAAATTATAAATCTTTAAGTTTATTTAATAATAAAAATAACTCAACTGATATATTTGAGATTGGGGTTCAATTCACACCAAGGATAAAATTTTTGTTTTACCCATCAAAAAATAATAGAAAATATGATACATATTAGGTAACAAGTTTTCGAAAAACTCATTATTTACAATTTATTCTTATTCCAATGTTATGAAACGGAAATACAAAATAATTCAAATTCAATTCATACAGTCTTCAGTTGTGAATGCAAAATAATCCAGTGAAGACTGTTTATGTCAACTCCATCACTAAATTCTCAGTGTTAATATAAATTCCTCTGTACAGGTAATGATTTTCAAAACAATTGACGAAATTAAAAAATTAAATATAACGATTTTGCGAAATTAAAAAATGGAAATATGTCACACATATGATGTCAAACATAATAATTATGACAGTCTAAAGGTGTGAGACTATCAATAGTGGTAATATAATGTTATGAAACGGAAATACAAAATAATTCAAATTCAATTCATACAGTCTTCAGTTGTGAATGCAAAATAATCCAGTGAAGACTGTTTATGTCAAATCCATCACTAAATTCTCAGTGTTGATATAAATTCCTCTGTACAGGTAATGATTTTCAAAACAATTGACGAAATTAAAAAATTAAATATAACGATTATGCGAAATTAAAAAATGGAAATATGTCACACATATGATGTCAAACATAATAATTATGACAGTCTAAAGGTGTGAGACTATCAATAGTGGTAATGTAATGTAATGGAAATTATAGGTTTCTATTGATTATTTCCCACCTCTACGAGTTTCATCTCTTTTTATTTCACAAGGTAACTGTGTTTTCTATCTCTTATGTTAAAAAGCCGGGTGGTAAGACACTCAGCACTGTATAATATGATCATATTATGATCAAATTGTATAAGAAGTCAATACATACACAAAATTCTTACTCTAAAAAAGCAGCAACATTTTAAACAATTTTGCGTAAGGGTAAACACTTTTATTATACCAGTTGTACATTTTTTAAAGGTGATAATATGGAATGTGCAGTGTGTCTGCAAAAGTGCATTCATCCAGCTCAACTGCCATGTGGACATATTTTCTGTTTTCTATGTGTCAAAGGGTTCGCAAATCAAAATAAAAGATGTGCTATGTGTAGGCAGGAAATACCAAGAGATTTTATAGAACAACCAAACCTTCTGGAACCAATTTGTACAGAAAAAACAGAAGTCTGTGATGACAGTTTTCAATGGTTTTATGAAGGAAGAAATGGTAAGTTTTAATATACACTCTTTTAGGTTTTAGATATTTTGATCTGCTATTTTAATACTTTCACGTAATTAAGTAATATAGTTATTTCAGTAGGTCTACATAATAAAAATAAATGGAATCATAATAAAAATAAAAAAGAGAAAGTTGTTAGGAAAATTTGAAATAATGTATTTAATTTAAATTTATCATGGCTATCCATGGCTTGTTTTGTTTGTGTTTTGATAAACTACTGTCCTAATTTTTCTCAATTAAGCATGATTAGAGATCATGACATAATGAATTACATACATATGGTATATATGAAATGCATTATCCATATATGTACATATAATACAAGATGGACTAACTGCTGCAATACAGTCATGTTCTGTATTAGAGCAGTCAAGTGTTAATTGGTAACTTTTTAAAAATCCCTAATTTTTGCTCTGTCAAAGCAAGTCTAGTTTTTATTTCGAGGTCAAGTGGTTTTTAAGGCCAGGTCCTGCGAGGTAAAGATGGAAAGATTATTATAGATTTAACAGAGAAAATTAATAGATGGACTGAATTTTGGATGGACAATAGATTGTTTGAGGACAACAGAAATAACATTGTTCAGGTAAATGGTGAAATAGGACCTGAAATCTTAAATGTGAAGTAGAAGTGGCACTTAGAAATTCCGAAACTGGAAAGGCAAATGGACCTGATGAGGTTCCTACTGAATTGCTAAAGTTTCTGGAATGATGACTCAATAGGTATAATATTGCACTTATTTATACACAATATACAAAACTGCTATTATACCTCAAGAGTGGCTGTTGTCTACATTCGTTACACTGCCAAAGAAATTCAATGCAAAAGAATGTTCAGAACATCGAACAATATCTTTAATGAGCCATCTACTAAAGACATTTCTAAAAGTCATCCACAACCTAGTTTATCAAAAGTTTCATTCAGATATTAGTGATACACAGATGGGGTTCAGAAAAGAACTAGGTACTAGAGAAGCTCTCTTCTGTTTGAATGTTCTTACACAAAGATGCCTAGACATTAATCAGGAAGTACATGCATGTTTTATTGATTTTGAAAAAGCATTTGACAGAGTACGCCATGATAAGCTAAGAGACATTCTTGAAAGAAAGGACATAGATAATAAAGATCTGTGAATAATTCTCAATCTATATTGGAATCAGAAAGCTAACGTCAAAATAGAAATTGAGATATCACAAGCAATAGAAATACATAGAGGAGTATGACAGGGATGCATTTTGTCACCACTGCTATTTAATGTTTATAGTGAAAGCATCTGCCAGGAAACCCTTTTGCAAGCAAGCAAAGGAATCGTAGTCAATGGAGAGGTTGTAAATAATATTTGATATACAGACGATACTGTACTAGTTGCAAGAACAGTAGAAGAATTACAATGAATACTTACAAATATAAATATTGCCTGCAACAATTATGGCATAAATATCAATATCAAAAAAACCAATGTAGGAGATTGGTTAGAGTAGAGTGACCAGAGACAAATCCATGTTTTTGTGTTGGAATAACATGTTCCTGGAGAAGGAATTTGGTCATCTTCTCAGAAATAATGGCTTCCATAACTTTGGCAACTACTGGCAGCAAGCTAATAGGACGATAATTGTTGGGGTCGAGTTTGTTGCCGTTTGTAAAAATAGTGGTAACGGAAGCTAATTTCCAACTAGGGGGTAAGGAGTTCTGAATGAAAGAAGTTTGCATAATTAACGTTAAGGGTACTATAAGTATAGTACTGTGTATTTTAAAAATGTAAATGTATTTATATATTTAGATTTGATTATAATTTTACACTATAATTTTATTACTATATTTTGAATTTACCGGCGGTCCGCAAAAAACAAGCTCACGGTTCGGATGCGGACCGCGGTCCGCCATTTGGTGACCCTGGCTTAGGGGGTTGATGGGGGTGAGTTATATTTTATGTCATTTTAGTTCCCCCTTACTATCCTAGAAACGGTTTCAAGCATTTTTCGATATAGCTTTTATTCATGCGATATAGCCCATAAATGTATCTTTTATAATAATCAATGAATAATGTATTCAATTGTTGAGTGGATTATACAGCTACAGTGTAATTTAATTTTTAATTTTTCGTTTTCCTTGATGAGCTCTATTTGACATTCAAATAAAATGAAAATAAAAAAATTAGCAAAAATAAAGACCACAGTTGTTGTTTGTTTATATTTATATGACACTAAATCCGCTAATTAATCACCACAATAAAAAACATAATTTTTTAAACCAATTATTTGATTATTATTTTCATTACAATCTGTATTAGTTGACTCACATCATATTACTGTCAAAATTTTTGTACAAAAATCTTTATATTAATCAATTATGCTTAGAAATATATTCTCTATTTTAAGGTTGGTGGAAGTATGATGAGAGAGCCAACGAGGAAATAGAACAGATTTTCCAGCTAGGAATACCAAATTTTGAATTAATAATTTGCGGTGAACTGTATATAATCGATTTTGCTAACAATGTTCAACATCCGAAAAGAGACTCTACAAGAAAAAGATCTATAAAGCGGGATAAAATTACTAATACAAAAGTGGTGGGAGTAGCTGGGATAAGAACTGTTTAAAAGCTATTTAAAAAACTGTATTTCTAAGTAACATAAACATGAATGTGAACAAGGCAACTGTGAGTTGTGAAATATAGACCAAGTCGTGAACAGGGATAGAATATTTTTGGACTCAGAGTTAGCCAATGACAGTTTTCTTTTTTCATCATCACCCGTCCTTTGCGTCCACTGCTGAAGATAGGCCTCCCTCATTTTTGTCCATTTGCTCTATCTTGAGCACTTTTCATCCAATTTCTTGACATTTTCTTGAGATCGTCAGTCCAACAACTAGAGGGTCTTCCTGTAGTTTTTTTGTCTAACCTCGACCTCCACTCGAGCAATCTCTTCGTCCACCTGTCATCACTGATTCGGGCGAATTGAATCGATAAGAGACGGTTCTCCAACAGGAAGATCACGGAAATTGTTGGAACGACAACCTACTGGAGGCACATTGAAAAATAGTCATACTACTACTACTAAGGATTTCCACAGTTTTCACTGTCTTCCTTCACTCAACCGTTTTCTCCAATTTTCCCTGCCATTCCAGTCTCCATCTCGCAGGGTTCTTTTCTCCATAGCCTCGTCGATTTCGTCCCTGAATGACCTTCGGGGTCTTCCTCTCTTTCTTCTTCCGATCGGGCTCCATTCTGTGATTTTGTTTATCCAGCGTCCTCTGTCCGCTCTTCTGACGTGGCCGTACCAGGATAGTCTCTTCTCCTCTATATAGTCGATTATGTCTGATTGCACTCCCATTCTCCGCTTAATCTCTGCATTTTCAATTCTGTCTCTTTTTGTAAGTCTACAGCTTCTTCTCAGGAACTCCATTTCTACTGCTCTTATTCTACCTCTATTTCTCTTGTTTATTGTCCAGTTTTCGGACCCATATGTCAGGATACTTCTTGTCAGGGTATTATATATTCTCTTTTTTGTCTTTATCGTAATGTTCTTATCCCACAGCACTGAATTTAGTTGTCTTATACAGTTTCTTGTTTGTCTTAGTCTGTTGTTTATATCTTCTGTTGTTCCGTGGTTCGATATTATGGTTCCTAAATACTTTAATTTATCGGTTCCATTTACTTGTCTTCCCTCGTCTATCTCTAGGTTTCTCCTATATATCCTTGTTTTCTGTTGTTAGGTATTCGGTTTTTTCTAAGTTTATTTCCATTCCGTTGTGTTTTTATATTCTTCTTCTAGTTTTCTGAGCATAAAGCTGAGATCTTCTTCATCTTGTGCGATGACTACTTGATCGTCGGCAAAACTTAAGGTGTATAGGTATTCGTCTCTTACTGGTATGCCCATTCCTTCGCACTTTCTCCTCCATGGTTTAAGTGTCTTTTCCAAGAATATTTTAAACAGAGTAGGGACGTAGCACTGCCTTGTAGAAATCCTTTTGTCTTCTCAAATGGATTGTAGGCTTTATTTCCACATTGAATAGCAACTTTGTTTTCTCAATGTTTGTTTTGTCAACAAACGCCAGATGGACCGGTCTACCTTTTGCCATTTTATTCTCTATCAGTTGTTCTAATGTGTACATATGATCTAGGCATGATTTTCCTACTGTGAACCCTGCTTGGTCTTCTCCAATTTTTCCTATTATTTCAGTTTCTAGTTTTTCCTTGATAATTTTCCCGTAAAGTCTACCTACCGACGATATTATACTAATTCCTCTGTAGTTTTCACATTTTTTCCTGTTTCCTTTCTTATGTATGAATGTGATGTATGCTTGTGTCCATTCCGCAGGTATTTCCTCTCCATTTAGTCCTCTTTCGAACATTCTGTGTAGCATGCGGAATAACTTTTCCGTTCCGTTTTTAATTAGTTCGTTTGGTATCCCTCCGGGTCCTTTGGCTTTTTTGTTCATCAATGTCTTGATTGCTCTCTTGACTTCTGTCAGACCTATTTCTATCTGGTCGTATGTCCCATTTCCTGCATGTTCTGTATTCTCTTCCTGAAATTGGGGACGGTTTTATTTGAAAAATAGTCATGTCTACACAAAAAGAAGAAGAAAACAATAAAACAATAGCCCAGTTGTGTCGGGATTATAAGTTGGACTATGAAAGCCAAGGAGAAACCTTTGCTACCGTGATGATGTATAGAGCGTTTCTTATCAAAATTCCAACGAAATTGAGAAGGAAAACTTATATGGCCTATTCTCATATTGAGGAGAGGAACTGGAGTAGAGAGGAGAAAGAAAAAGATTAAAATAAAATCTCACATTCTTATCTGTAGCCATGTTTTGATCTTACCAACTCCAAATGGTCAAATATCCTGTTTCTACTACAAATCTAAATTACTATCCACTTATAATCTTACACTATGTGCGTACGATCTTACGCAATAAGTCAATGACTTGTAAACTGTAACATGTGACTCTAAAGAGAAGGTAAAAGCATCAAATCAGCTTTCGTCCAAT